AAAAAAAAAAACAAAGTTGAGGAGAAAAGGAAAACAAATAGAAAAATTAGCTGGGCATGGTGGCTTCTGTAGTTCCAGCTACTTGAGAGGCTGAGGCAGGAGGATCACTTAAACCTGGGCATTTGAGGCTGCTGTGAGCTGTGATGTTGCCACTGCACTCTAGCCTGGGCAACAGAGAGAGATTTTGTCTCAAAAAAGATCTCTGTGTTCAGATTAGACTCCCAAGAACAGATTTACATTATTGGAGAAGTGAGCTTGTTAATGGTTGCAGTTACACTCCTCCCACGAAGTGGAACAGAACAAGACAAGCGCTCCTGAATGTCCTTGGTTGAGCCTCTTACCTCAGCATACTCAGGGAATAAGGTTTATGAGCAGAAAGAAAGCTCTTCCCCAGGGTTAGATGGGCAAAGGCCACTTCCTTTACCTGGCTCTGATAGCATCTTACTAATTACAGAGAAGCTGTGTGTTCAGGCTGTGCCCTGGCCATTCTTTAGTCTGTGTCACAGCAAAAAAGCAGATCTGACAGAGCTCGACTGCAGTGGCAGAAATGGAGTGAGGTGTGAATGGAACGCTAACAGTGAACAGGGCACCTCATCTTCTATCCTGCAAAGTTGAAGTCCATCCAAGCGAGCGTGATTTTGTTGTTTGACTTGTATTTACTTATCCAGTGGTCTCAGTTCATCACCACCCCCACCTCCTGCACCTCAAGGCCCCAGGGCCCCGTGCATCCTCTGGGTAAAACCCCAATTCCCCAGGGAATAGCCCCAGGGCCCCTGCCTAATGCCAGCCATTCTCCCTGTGATCCATCAAACCCCCTGCCCCAGAACAGTCTACCCTTCCCCCCCACCCCGTGCTCATGCTTCTCTTGGTATTGTCAGCCCATCTGGGCTCCTGCCTGGGTGAGCACCCTCCTAGGCTTCCTGGGTCCCCCATGGGAGTGTTTTGCCCACTGGTTGTGCTCAAGTATGGGCCCAGGGCAGGGTGAGCCTTTCCCTCTCCACCCACCAGCCACTCCCTGACCCACTGTCCCTCACCCAATCCCCATGTTCTCAGAGGAACTTCCTTAAGTGCTCCGAAGATAACCCAGTCTTCACTGGTGTCGACTGCGAGGTCTTTGAGTCACGCTTTCCCACCACCATGGCCTTGTCTGTGCTTGTGACCATTGAAATGTGCAACGCTCTCAACAGGTAGGTTAGGTTCAAGTCTGGAGCAGGAGTTGAGGAGTAGGGGCTGAGGCTTAAAGGTGGGATCTGGGGATCCCAGGGGTCCGGGATTGGGGTCCAAGGGTCAGAGGCCCAGAAAGGGATTCTTAGGGTCAGTGGAGGCCAGAATTGGGGCCTCAAGGACAAGGGCTGAGACTAGGCTCTAGAAGAGCCAAGATTCAGTCTGAGGGTTAGAAAAGGGGTCTAAGCCCAGGACAGGCCCCTCCACATGGGGTGAGGGCCCACATCGGGCCCCTGTATCCTGGCCTGAGGTGAACTTCCTGTGCTCTTGGCAGCGTCTCAGAGAACCAATCACTGCTCCGGATGCCGCCCTGGCTGAACCCCTGGCTGCTGGCAGCTGTGGCCATGTCCATGGCGCTGCACTTCCTTATCCTGCTCGTGCCACCCCTGCCCGTGAGTGTCCCTGCCCCGCCCCAACCCCTCCTTCTGGGGAGATAGAGACCACACAGGTCCTGGACATCACAGGTCCTGAGCTGGCCTCTGAGCCTTTCTGGACCCTTCTGCAGTAGAACCACATATAAGACAGGGATGTGTTGTGCTACCTGCAGGAGTCCTCAGACTTGGGGGAAAGAAAAAGTGGAGATTCTTGCTGAGGGGATGCCCCAAGGGAGGGGTGGGAGAGAGGACCATGGTTTTTCCCAGGGCAGCAGCCTAGCACCTCCTGGCAGGAGGGAGGGGTTTTTTTGCGGAGGGCAGGGGCAGGCAGAGGAAATTGGGTGGGGAGAGATCTGGAGTTGGGACCTCAAGGGGCAGCTTAGAAGCCTCACAAGGAATCCGTTGGCGCCTGGGTGTAAGAAGTGGGTGGATAGCTGGGGCAGCCCTTTTATCAGACCTCCCTTCCCCTCCAGCTCATTTTCCAGGTGACCCCACTGAGCGGGCGCCAGTGGGTGGTGGTGCTCCAGATATCCCTGCCTGTCATCCTGCTGGATGAGGCCCTCAAGTACCTGTCCCGGAACCACATGGAAGGTGAGTGGGAGGCCCCAGACCTTCTGGCTGTGCTCCCTGCCGACATCTTGCCTGCCTGGCTGCCTGGCTGCCTGGCTGCCTGGCTATTGCCACTGCTCCGGGGCTGCAGCGGGCACTGTGCAAGGAGCCTCCCTGTCTGTGTAGGGGGAGAAGTGTTTTTGGATCACAAGGTAGAGGGGCTCTGGTGGCTGTGGTCCAAGGTGCCTGCGGGGTCTTAGGCTGCAGAGGTCCGGGGCTCACTGGGCTGCCAATGGGAGCACCACTCAGGCCATGCTGCCTTGCCGTCCTCACCTGCCCCCACTTCCAGCATAGCTGGGATGCTGTGGGCTGCTCTAGGCCTTGGCTTCTGACCCTCCTGCGCCTGGCCCATCTTTATCCAGGCATTCTCAGGACAGTTTCCCAGGCTTGGAGTAGGCAGCCGCTGACCACCTCCGGGACCCCAGACAACACCGGGTTGGCCTCTTTGCTGTCACCTTGTGGGTGGGTAGAGGGGAGGGTTCTTTGTTTCTAGGTTTACAGCACTGGGTCTGCTTCAATGCAGGAGTAGGTGACAGAAGGGTGGTGATCAGGTGGAGAGGAACAGGTTGTGCTCAGAGAGTAGGCAATTCTAAATCTCCGAAGGGCAAGGAAGGCAGGATCATTCTCACTGCCAGAGCTGCTCAGCGAGGGAGGAAGCAGGGACGAGCTCCCGTTCATGGGAATTTGCAAAGAGGCAGTGGCCATGTGGCTGGACTGCCGTGGAGGGACCAGGGTTAGGCCAGTCAGTGGCCAAGGCTGGTGCTTGGACAGCTGGGGTGTTGTCCACCTCTGGCAGGAATGTGTACTGGCCCCAAGAGTGGGAGTTGAGGGTTTGAATAGGTTGCATGCCTGTCATTCCATGGGAACTGAGCAATGGAGCAATGGAGGACTGTCCAGGGAGCAGCCAGACTCATGTGGGGGGCTCATCACCCAAGGGTAGAGGTGGGTGCTCAGCTGAAGGCCTGTTGGAATCCATGGGTGGTACTAGGAGCTGGATTCTGTCCCCTACCTGATTCTTTTCTGGTTTATCCTCTGTGACAACCCTGGGAAATGCAGAGGAGGAAACGGGTTTGATACCACAAACTCTGTCCATGGAGAACTAGAGAAGGCAGCCCGTCTCTGGCCAGAGCACCAAGAAGTCCCCTGGCCGACCTTGACATACTGACCTGCAAAGCCCAGCCTCCTGGTGACACAGCCTGCTCGGTGGCTTCTTCTTTTTTTTTTTTTTTTTTTTTTTGTGGTTTTTGGCCTGGGCTAGGTTTGAACCCACCACCTCCGGCATGTGGGGCCAGCGCCCTAGTCCTTGAGCCACAGGCGCCGCCCTTGGTGGCTTCTTTGTCTTCCTCCAGAGACTTCCTTAGTGGCCACAACTAACAAGAAACTCAGCAAATTTTCTTAAGAAAACTTAAAAGTGACAAAATTCTGCCCATGGCTAAAATTCCTCAAGTCTAGGTCTGGGATGCCTTTCGCCATCAGCTGCAGGATGGTGGCAGTTTCTTGGGCTCATAAGAAGAAGGAGAGGGCCCCTGGCAGGAAGAGGCAGGGGGTGCACTGGGAGGCCATGAGTCCTGCCAGGCTGGGAGTAAGAATGGTTACTTTTTAGAAGATTCAGGGTTAAAGGGGAGGTTGGAAAGGACAGAATTGAACCTGATGGAATAGTGCCGGTGAGCACTGCTGCCAGAGCCCAGAGGGCAGGGCAGAGAGGTGAGGCCCAGAGGGTGGCAAGGGCCTGAATGCCAAGGGAAGGACCCTGGACATTATCTGCAGGGCAGTGGGAGGCACAGGAAGGGTGTAAGCATGGGAGAGACTGTGTGGACCCTGCAGGGCAGGCGGGAGGGTGTAAGACTAAAACAGGGAGGCTGGTTTATGGTGCTGAGCTGGTCTGAGAAGGAGACAAAGTCCCAACCAGGGTGGGCAGGTCCGGCAGTGCCTCCACCTCCACTGTTGATGTGAGATGTTGACCATGGTCCTTTGAAGTTTGACTTGAAAAGTCAGTGCCAGGCTGCTGGGGTGGTGTGGAGCTCACAGGACAAGACAGAAGGCGGGCCACCTGTAGCCACATCTGAGAGGTTTGGGGAACCACCACCTTGGAGGGACCCCAAGGAATGTGCTCTCTAGAAGCCCAGACAGCTCTGCCCAGTTCTACTGCAGTCCCTTGGGCCTCCTAAAGCCAGAGGGGGCGGGGGTGAGAGAGGGGACCCTTTGCATTCCCAAGACAGACTGGTGGCCTTTTAGGGAAGTTTTGCTGAGGCCTGATGCTTGTAGCTCCCTCATGATTTATGAGGGATGTGTCCTGGGGAGAATCATGAATGTGGGTCAGCCCTGGGGGACTGGGGGGTCCTCTTGCCCTGCCTCCTGGCTCTGTCCAGGTGTGGCTGAGTAGCTGTCAGGGGAGGCCTATGGGCTTGGTTGTGGAGGTGGGGGCTGGAGACGCTGAGTGGGACAGACCCAGGAGGTCTTGGGCTTTATTCTGAAGGCTGTCAGGAGCCATGAAAGGAGATCATGGGGCAGGTTGGGGCTTTCACATGATGCCAGGGGCAGAAGGGTAATGGGAGGTAAGACGAGGGCTGGAGGTAGGACGGACAGAGTGAACTGGAGGCCTGGCAGGGGCACTGGAGAAAGATCTACTCCAGGGAGTTGGGTGAAATCAGACCTGGGTGAAGAGGGCTAGGGGGGAGGTTGGTTTCTGGATGTTGTGGTGGATGGTGGTTCCCCAAACTAAAACCTAAGAGGAGAATATTGACTGTGGTAGGTGGGGATATTAGAGACATGTGGCATGAAGGAAGATAAAGGTCGGAAGCAAGGGGGATCACAGGATGGTGGGGCTGTCCCGGGAGAAATGGAGGCTACAAGGAGCCAGCTTGGATGGGCACGTGCATCTTAACATGCTGTTTCCTTCCAGAAGACAAGATGCAAAAGTGAGTGCTGGGAACAGAGTGGATTCTCCAGTGTGTACCTCAGACTGATGGTGCCCGGCATCACCCCACGCCCTTCCCTGCCACCACGCTCACCTACTTGCCTACTGGGCCTGCCGGACACACAATAGGCCTGAAGCCAGAGCCCCTCTCTGCTCAAGTGCACAAGCCCGTCCCAGAGCCTGCTTCTCGATGCTTGGAGGCTGGGCATTTGCTTGATGACTGGTGCCTCTGCAGTGATGGAGGACTCTTGGGGGCCCTTCTTACTGGCTCTGACCTCTCCCTTATTGCCTGGTCTGGGGCCTGTTTGGCTCCAGGGAGGGGATTCTGGAGGGGCCATCTGGGCCCAGCTGTGCACAGCGAGGGTGCCCCCCCCACTCTGTTCTGCTTCCACCCAGTCGGCTCCTGAGAGCTTGAGCCTGTTTCTGTTTATATGTACAGGCCCCAGGGGGGTTGAAGGGTCAGAGAAGGAGACACAAGGCATGAGGAGGAGGGGCAGGGCAAGGATCCCCTTTCCCAGGAGACAAGTTGGCCCCACTGCCTCAGCTCGCTCACTTCCTAGACTCAGGTTTCCCTGACCCATGCAGATAAAGCCTACAGTCTTGCCTGGCCTGCCCAGCAGAGGTTGGATGTGTTGCCCCTGTTCCTTGTGCCTGGCACCCCAGACAACCTCGAGTCCCTGACCACTGTGCCCTCCCTCTCAGCCCAGGGGTTGGCCCGTCGTGATGTCTGCACAGCCCAGTGACTGGTTGCTTTTGGCCTCACTACGTTCCCCCACCCACCCACACACACCCACGAGCCAACAGGAGGTCACTAAGGATGGCTAATTACCACTTCCCTTCCCTACTCCTCGCTGGAGGACACATCTGCGCAGATCCTGTCAGATGCTGGGGAGACAGCATTTGATGGACAGAATTTTTCTCTGAACTCAGCTTTTGTTCCTTTGGCAAAAACTAGGTGTAGCAGAAGACAGTGAGTGAGGACTGTCTGTGTGTCTTTGCCCTTCCTAGAGAGTGTACAAAATGATTGTTTCCTATGTAAACCAAGACTCATATCCTTGTCCTGGTCCCAGAACCAAAAGGCCCCCAGTCTGCCTTGCAGGCAAATGGTCTCCACATTCTGCAGCCCATTCCCCCTGCTCCCTCCCCTCTCTTGCAGGTTCTGGTTGGAGGGGGCTGTCTGCTGCCTCGAGAGATTCCCTCCTGCTTTCCTGAGATGGGGGGAGATTTTAGCAGGGGCAGGGCCCTGTACCCATCTGCTGACATACTGTTTGTTAGAGAAATAAAGATTGTGTGCCTGGGGCAGTGGAGGACCCTCCCGTAATCTGTTCTCCTGGAATGTGTTCCCGCTATTGCTGGCTGCCTGCTGGGCATCTAGCTGTGGCACTGCCACCTGCTCCACCCCCACCCTAGGAAATGCTGGGTGAAGATCTGGGGTTCCCACCTTGCCAGGACCATTCTTTTTGCCTTCAAGACAAGGCTCCAGAGAGGCACTGGCTTTTCTAGAGCCACACCCCAGCGACAGGTGCAGAACCGGGACTTGCCCCTCCCATGGTCAGCTCTAACAGTTTGTGTACAGATTCAAGGCCTTTAATGCATTTTACGATTTGCATGTCACCACTGAGGAAACCTAGGCTGGGAGTGGTCTGTGATTTGACCTGGGCAGGGCTGGTCCTATATTGTGAATCTCAAGGGTCCCTTGCACCCCACATAGGGGCCCCAGCCTGGCTGTTCTGAAGGTCCCACCACTCTCCCTGAGGTTTTTCTCTTGCTGTTTCCCTCGCTTCCCCAAACCAGGATCCCTTTCACCTCTGGTCCTTCTGAGCCCGACTCAAGGCCACCTCTCACCTCCCCATAGCTTCCCTTGATCATGAATGCCCAAGGGCCTCTGTGAGATGAACCTAGCTGCCCAGGTGGCCCTGCCTTCCTGGGAGTAGGGACTCTGGGAGGAAGGAGCTATGTTCCCTGCTTCCCTCATCTCCCTCCCCTGGAAGGTTTGGTGTCTAATCCTTGACCCAGCTGTCCTGGGAAGTTAACTTAGGGCCTGACTCAGGACTAGAGACAGGACTAACTACATGATTGCAGGGCCCATTGCAAAATGAAAACCTGTAGCCCTTTGTTCAAAAAAGTAAGGATTGGCTCGGTGCTTGTGGCTCAAGCAGCTAAGGCACCAGCCACATACACCTGAGCTGAGCTTGGCCCAGGTCCACCAAACAACAGTGACAGGTGCAACCAAAAAAAGGGAAAAAGTAGCCAGGTATTGTGGCAGGTGCCTGTGGTCCCAGCTACTTAGGAGGCAGAGGCAAGAGAATCACTTGAGCCCAGGAGTTGGGCGTTGCTGTGAGCTGTGATGCCACAGCACTCTACCCAGGGCAACAGCTTTGAGGCTCTGTCTCAAAAAAAAAAAAAAAAAAAAAAAAGTAAGGATTGGCTCAGCGCTTGTAGCTCAGCAACTAAGGCACAAGCTACATATACCAGAGCTAGAGGGGCCTGCCAAACAATAACAACTACAACCAGAAAATAGCCGGGCGTTGTGGAGAGCACCTGTAGTCCCAGCTACTTGGGAGGCTGAGGCAAGAGACTCACTTAAACCCAAAAGTTTGAGGTTGCTGTGAGCTGAGATGCCACAGCACTCTACCAAGGATGATAGCTTGAAAAAAAAAAAAAAAAGTAAGGATTACAGCAATAGCAGGACATTAAAACCTGTGCAGAGCCTCTCCCAGCCCAGGCCTGGTATGACTGCACAGGGTGCAGGTCCTTGGAACCAGCTGACATGGAGGAGGCAGGCCCTCAAGGAGTGCCCAGTCCCTTAAGGGCGCACAGCTCACAGCAGGAGCCAGGATGGGCAGGAGGACTTTCCACAGGGTCCATCTGTAAGACCTCGCCGACCACAAAATCCTTTCATACACCACTCCTCCCAGGGCTTCAGCCAGCCCTGTGGACTTTACAGATGAGGTGACCGAGGCCCAGAAGTGGCTATGCCTCACTCAGGGGCCTCTGGGAGTCTGGTGTGTGGCATGGTGGTAGCCAGCCAATATACTGAGCTAAGATGGCCTGGGGGACTCACTGTGAGGCTCCAGCCTTTCTAGCAATGTCGCTTCCAGCCCCACCCGGGGCCTGCCTAGTCTGGCTCCTTTGGGCCCATAGCATGGAGTCCACAGGCCAGCATAGGGCAGCCAAGGTAAACAGAGGTCTCCTCACCTCACAGCTGCTCACTCAGGAGGGAATTCCCCCGGCAAGCCCTGGCATGTCTCACTGCAGCTGCCAAAATGCCCATGGGGCCCCCGCCCCTCCAGAGACCCAACTCTGTGCTCCCCAGGCCCCGCACTCTCCACCCCTCACAGAGGGGGGAGGGACCATGGTGGGGCTGCGTTAGGAGGATTGGAGGCAGGGGGTAAAAAGGGTGATTTCTGTGCATGCAAAGGCCTATAGCCAGGTGTCCATAGCAGCTTTATCCATTATGGGCCCCAGATGTCCCTCAGCAGGCGAAGGATAGACAAGCTGTGGTATGTCCATACAGCAGACTTCTCAACAAGAAGGAGCCACGTGGATGGAGCTTAAATCACTGGGCTGCGGGAGAGAAACCAGACGCAGAACAGAGCTCCCACCGTGTGACTCCACTTGTCTGACGTCCTAGAGGAAGCAGAACAAATCAATAGTGACAAAGCTGACCAGTGATTTCCTGGGGCTGGGGAATGATTGACCACAGAGAGGCAAGAGGGAGTATGAATTTGGGGGGATAGCTCTATGCATTTGTCAAAGCTCATCAAACTGGGTGCCTTGGTAAGTACTTTTTACTGTATGTGAGTTAGACCTCAATAGTTTGATTTAAAAGGGAAAAAAAAAAGGTAGAGCCAGAGAGGTAGGCACATGGCTGCTGGGTGGGCCACAGCACCTCCTAAGTGAGTGCTTGATCTGAAGAGAGGGCCAGGCCACTCCAAGAAGCTTCTTAATCTAGGGCAGCAAAAGGCTGGGTACTGAGGGCCAGTGGCTCAGAGGACAGGGGAGGACCAGGAAGGTGAGGCATCTTGGACACTTGGAAGATCAAGCTGTGAGGTGAAGCCAAGCCGGGGGGGCTACTGCTGCACCTCTAGGGTCCCCTTCCCAGGTGCCGGCCCTCCTCCAGCCTCCCCTGACAGTCTCTGTCCCAGCTAGTGTCTGAGGAGCTATATGGCATTGGGGAAGTCCCTGGGACATGGAGGTAGCCTGAGAATGTATGAGGAGTTGGTCTGAGGTGTGGTCCCTGTACCTTTTGGCCTCTGAGTGGCTAAGGAGACCCATGAGAGCCAGTGCCCACCCGCTCAAGGGCTTGAGCTGGTTTCCAGGCCTGGGCAGTGGCTCCATGATGGGTACCGGCCCCTTCCATGCCACTCAAAGCCGCTAAATTTAGCCAGGCTGGGGAGGCTGTCCTGGGGCCGAGCACTTGGCAGCGGGGCTTTGTCTCCCTACAAGGCCCTGCCCAGTACCCGAGCCGGCCACTGGCCTTTGGGCTTATAAGGCAGAACTAGCGGCTCTCAAGTGCTAGAGTCTTCAAGTGGGCTTGGGGCCAAGGCTCCAGACTTTGGGGAGCCTCTTTCCCAGCTGCCAGTAGACATGGGAACTGCGTGTGTGTGACCTCGGGCCAGATACTCAACTTCCAGAGCCTCAGTTTCCTTATCTGTAAAATGGGGATTCTAGTTACCCCCAGGGTTGTTGTAATGAAAGCCCTGCTGAATTCCAATGTGTGGAACTCTGACCTCTGCCCTGCCAACCCTCACCCCACAACGCCTAGAACCGACACAGGGGTCTGGCCCTGGGGATGCTGCCAGAGTGGGGACCAAAGGCAGGATAGTACAGGCCTTGGATCAGAAAGATGTGTGTTAGAGTCGGTGAATGATACACTGACCCCAACAGCTGACTGACTCACTCTCACAGAATTAGTAGCAGGAAAATGAATTTGAGTCTTTGGGTGTAATTTGGATGTGATAATATCTTCAAATGAGACAGTCCTCCAAGCCAGCATGTTTTCTAGAGGGCCAGGACCAGTGCCCAGGCTATAGCAGAAGCACATGTGTGTGTTCCAAGTCTGCCTGTCCACCAGTCCCTCTGTCTGGTGGCTCAGAGGAGGAGATGCTGGTGGTGTGAAGGGGACAGACATGGACTAGAAAAGGCCTTCCTTTCTTCCTTCCTGTCTCCCTCCCTCCCATTCCTCCTCCCTCATCAAGCACCTGCCACTCTCCAGAATATAGCATGCAGGGTGCATGTCAGGGAGAAAGGCCCAGAGGGACCCAGGAATGGCTCAGACAGTCTCAGCCCCCACCCCATTCCCCATCATAAGCTGCTCAGAGCTTCCTATTCCACAGGGTCAGCTGGGAAAGAGACAGGTCCTTTTGTTTGGGGTCAAGATCAGGCCAAGGTGACATGGCCACTATGGCTTTGGCTCCCACCATCTCTGGTTTTTTCCTTAGAAAAGCCCAGGATGTGCTTCTCCCTCCCTCCCCCTGCTGGGTTGGCGGAGACCTTGTACAGGATGAGGCTGATTTATCTGAGGACGAGGGATTGGCCTGGGTGTTGGGAGGGGGTCGTATGCCTGTCTTCTGTGGGTGACCCCTTGTTGTGGTGGGGAGCAGTTCCGTTCATTCAGCAGGCTGGGATTCCTGTCCTGGCACTGGCTCCCTGCCCAGAGCAATTTCCAGCTAATGGCCAGGAAGAAGACTCCTTTTCAACCCACAGGGTGGGGCACATCCAACTTCGGGGAGGCAGGTGCTGAAAGGGAGGCCCTTGCTTTAAACTTCAACTTTCAGTACCGCCCAGGGTGAGCTTGGGCAACTCATTTCTCCTCTTTGAGCTTCAGTTTCTTCATCTGCAAAATGAGATGTGGGGGCAGGGAGGCCTCTGGCCCTAGAGAACTAACAGGGGACCCCTTGACCACCCCAGCCCCTCAGGGGAGGATAAGGACTGCCAGGGCACTATACCCCACACTCAATAGTGGCCTCAAGTTTTCTGTCCCTTGTTGTTGGTACCTATCCCCTACGGGCCTTGACCTATGAGGAAAGTGCCCTTATCTTCCTGGCTTGACAGATGAGGAAGCAGGCTCCGGGAAGCAGGCAACTCACCATGGCCCACAGCCAAAGAGTGGCAGAGACAGGGACGGCTGAAGCCAGGCTTTCCCAGGTGGGTCTTTGCAGCCCCCAACAGCAACATGTGACAGATGTGGCACATGACTTGTGTGGGCACTTGTCTCCTCTCCCCCTCTGATGGCTGGAAAGGAGGGTCGCAGAAATGACAGCCCAAAGCTAAGGCCAAGAGGGCATGGGCCAGGCGTGGACTCAGAGGGACCGGTAGATGGAGGTGGTTTACAAGAACAGGGGTGGGGCTTCTGCCACGAGTCAGGAAGTGTTGGGGAAGCACTGGACAGCAGAACTGGAGGTGGCCATCCTTCTTCTTTTGCCCTACTCCCTGCGGCCCCCAGGGACTGAGCTGCCAACCAGGGTGGGCTATTGGTGGAGGGTGGTGTGTGGGGATGGGGATGAGTGTTTGGGCTTGGGCAGTGGGCTCCAGTCTGAGGCCACTCCAGATTCCCCAGGCCCTGGCCAGAGCTCTGTCTTGCAAGGTTTGGGGTGGAGAGTGGCCTGGGGGGGGTGCCCAATAGCTTTATCTTTTCTTCTGTGATGGGTGGCTGGTGGTTTCCTGCCAACAGTTCCCTGTTTCCGGAGGCCTAGCAGGGCCCAAGCAGAGCCAGGAGGGGCAGTGGGGCTGGGCTTGGGTGGCCCCACCGGCCCCGCCCCCATCTATCTTTGGGAATTTATTTGTCCACAGGAGCAGCTGGCCTGCAGGCCATTGCCTTCCAGGGGCCAAGAGCTGCTCTGACCACCCAAAGATCCTCTCTTCCCACCCAGGTGCCTCTAGCTGACCTCTGACAGCAGCCGCACTCGCCCTGCCCTGCTCTTGCTAAGGGGCTGGGAAGGTCCTGGAAGCTCTGCTGTCCACCTGGGTCACCCTGAGAGCAGGGGCCACACAGGGGCTCAGTTCTGTGCCCCAGCTGGACCCACCATGGCACGGCGGCTCCAGGAGGAGGTGGCCGCCTTCTTCTTCGAGTATGACACTCCCCGAATGGTGCTTGTGCGCAACAAGAAGGTGGGCGTTGTCTTCCGACTGATCCAGCTCGTGGTTCTGGTCTACGTCATTGGGTGAGTCTGGCCTCCAGGCTCTGGGGTGCCTCCCTTCACGCCAAGGGTCCCCTCTTTCTTTCCATCCATTGGAAGGCCTTCCCAACAAGCTTCTGTGCTATACGAAAGGACTAGAAAACCCTGGTAATTCACTGTTGAGATGGGGTCATAGGGCAAAGGGGAAGGAAGGAACCCGCTCAGTGTTAATGGCCCTTTCAAGTGGTAAGAGGCCTTTGGAGCCAGGACCCCACGGACCCCAGCCTCTGAGTCCTTCTACTTGTGACCTCCCGCCAAACTGGGCTGCTACCAACAGACAGAGGCTGGAGAGGGACAGGCACCTTCCCTGCCTAAATGAGGGACATCCTGGAATGTTTGAGTTCCAGGAGCAGAGAACTCCTCAATTTCTCAACACCTGGTGTCTTATATGGGTGGCACGTCAGGTAGGGGATGGAGATTACGTCTGGTCCCATGGATGACAATTCTTTCCTTGACTTGTCTCACTGTGCCAGGAGTACAGAGTCAGAAGCAGGGAGGGACTCCTGTGGTCTGGCTATCCTGGGGACTATGCCAAGGCCATTTTCCTGAAATCAGTCTGGCTATCCCTGGTAGGGTCTTACACACGTGAGTGTGCTGGTGTGGCCACATAGGTGTGTGTCATGTATGTCCTACCCAGAGCTCTGTGTCCATACACATGTCCTCATGTGTCTGGGTATGTGCCCAATTGGTGTAGCTGCTGGGTATGTCCCTGGGCCTAGGTGCCTACGTGTGTATGTGTGCATGTAGCTGTGTCCATGCCTGCCTGTGTCTGAGCTGCTGGGTGCCTGATGCATGTCCCCTGTGTGAGGTGCATCATGTTCACGCACAGTGACTCTGAAAAGGGCTCCTGGAGGCCCAGAAGGGCACCTGGCAGCCCCAGCCAGAGTTTTCTGTGTGATTCTGAGGGCTGTGTCCCTCTGGTCTCCAAGTCCCCATTTTTTGCTGTGGCTTCAAACCAGGACTACTAAATGGAGCCATGGATAGTGTGAGCCGGGCCCAAACAATGGTCCCCGGGAACTCCTGGCATCCCAAAGAGCCTTCCCTCTGCCCCTGGCATCCTCCAAAGCCTCAGAGCTGGTTGGGTAGAGCTGGGGCCAGGACAGCCTCCGTCTGTTTCCCAAACCAATTTGACATCTGTGATGTTGGTTGAGCTTGGGAGGGAAACTGAAGCCCAGAGAGGAACAGTGGGGTTTACAAGTCCCTGGCAAGTCAGCTGTAAATCTAGGGTTAGAAGTGGGGTCTCCTGAACCCTGGGCCTCTGCTCGAGTCTTCTGAACCCTGAGTCTCTGCTCAGCCCTCTCTCTCCCACCATCTCAAGAGTTTTAGGAAGCCTTTCCAATGGGAGTGCTGATGGGATGGCAGGCACAGGGTGGGCCTGAAAGTCCACCATGAGCTTCACTCCTGATCCTTGAGACAAGAGAGATGTTGTCCACTCAGGCTCAGCCTCCCTTAAAGGGACTGGGAGAATGTTGCCTCACTCTGCCCCGCATGGTTCCTGTTTCTGCTGTCAGACCATCAGCTGTGAGCAGCATCAGGGCCCTCTTATATGTTGGTCACAGTACCAGAGTGGAAGGGACATCTCCCCAGCAGCTGCAGCTGCAACTGAAGCTGCCACCCAGCCCTGAACACATACCTCCAGTGACTGGGACCTCATTACCTTTCTCATCCCCTTCTTTCCTACTGAGACAGTCTGATGAGCTCCCAGGTGGATGTGGCCATTCTCAGTGTCAGTGGGGCTCTGAGGCACAGTGCTTCAGCAGGGATCTCACAGCTAGTAAAAGGCTAAGCAGGAGTTGAACCCGGCTGCATCAGCATGGCTTCAAAGTCAGCCTTGATATTCTGGAAAAACATCTCCAGAGAGGGGCACTGACCTGCCAGAGTCACCAGCAGAGAGGGAAGGCATGGTGTCCCAATGGGACCACCCCAGCTACACCACAAGCCCAGTCTCCCGGCTCACGCTTGGGCTGCGGCTTCTGCTGTCTCTGGTGCCCCCATCTGGCCGCTTCCCAGTGCTGCACTAACCCCTCAGCTGGAAGCCTGCAACTGCAGACCAAAACTCAGCACAGCCTGGACTTGATCTCAGCATCTCAGGCCTCAATTTCCCAACTGTTCTTTCATCGGTTATGGATTGGAGTGGGCCTCTCTAAAGACCCTGAACACAGATCAGCAGTTTTCTCTTTCCTGAAGAGAGCTTGGCTTTAAGTTCCCTCTCCTTTCCCAGATATCTGTCTAAATGTCTGGTCCCGTGAGCATTGTAGAGGGACAGAACGGAGAGAGAGGAGAGCAGACAGAACCCTGGGCCCTGTCCAAAGACAGGACGAAGCCCAGGCGGAGGATGAGTAGACACAGAAACAAAACTGGACAGAGGGCCAAACAAGGGAGCACAGAAACTCAGATGAAGGGACAGAGGCCCTGGGTCCTAGAGGTGGAGAGAGAGTTACTGGGATAGAGGCAGAGAGACTGAGATGCCAAGAACCTAACCAGACTTTGAGGAGGGAAACGGAGGCTGGGGCGGTCCATTGGTCCTGGGCAAGTGCAAGGAGCAAGTGGGCCTGAGCCTCTAGAAAACTGAGCTAAGAAAGATGATGCTTTTTTCTTTTTTCTAAGAGATGGAGTATCACTCTGTCACCCAGGCTAGAGTGCCAAGGCATCAGCCTAGCTCACTGCAACCTCAAACTTTTGGGTTCAATCGATTATTCTGCCTCAGCCTTATGAGTGGTTGGGAGTAGCTGGGACTACAGGTAGTCACCACCACACCCAATGAATTTTTTCTTTTTAGTAGAGACTCTTGCTCAGGCTAGTCTTGAATTCCTGAGCTCAAACAATCCTTCTGCCTCAGCCTCCCAGAGTAGCTGGGAATACAGGTTCCTGACGTGAAGCCCAGCTAATTCTATTTTTAGTAGAGACAAGGTCTCACTCTGCTGAGGCTGGGCTTAAATTCCTGAGCTCAAGCAATCCTCCTGCCTCGGCCTCCCAGAGTGCTAAGATTACAGGCGTGAGCCACACTGCTCTTTTGGCTCCCTTTAAGATGATCTCACTGTTAGAGCTGTCCTCTAGAAGGTGAGGAGCTCTCTGTCCATGAAGTTGTGTGGGCAATGAGCTGTCATCTATGAACCAGCAGGCCCATGTTAGGGGTGTGCTGGGCCATCCTGATTGGGGGGGCCTTGGTTGGGGTTGGAGAGGGGTGATCTAGATGCATCACTTAGGAGGGTCCTCGGGGATGTGGAAATGTTGCTTGGGTAGAGGAACCTTCTCGGAAGAGGTGACCAGCCATGGGCCAGTGCCTGGGGATTTAGGCAAGGCAGATCTGCTCTCAACCTTTCTGGGCCTCATCTCACCTCAGTCCTCACTCATCCCCTGCATCTCCACACAGAGCTCTTTTGTTGTTGTTGTTGTTGTTGTTGCAGTTTGACTGGAGCCAGGTTTGAACCCACAACCCTCGGTATATGGGGCCAGCACACTACCCACTGAGCCACAGCTGCCACCCCTTTTCTTTGAGATAGAGTCTCGCGATATCGCCCTTGGTAGAATGCCGTGACATCACAGTTCACAGCAACCTCAAACTCTTGGGCTTAAGTGATTCTCTTGCCTCAGTCTTCCAAGTCGCTGGGACTACAGACACTTGCCACAGTGCCTAGCTATTTTTTGTTGCAGTTGTTTAGCTGACCCAAGCCAGATTCAAAGCCACCACCCTCAGTGTAGGTGGCTGGCGGCATAACCACTGTGTTACGGTCGCCAAACCCCACACAGAGCTGTTGAAATCACATGTTCTGAGATCTCCAAGTGGATCATGAAGCCCCTTTATCAGTGATAAGGATAAATACAAATTATCTCTGGGAAAAATACATGAGGAGCACCATCTTTGTGTCCAGGGATGTACCAGGGGACAGAGGCAGGACTCAGGGTGGGTAGAGGGAGAGCTGAGGATGAGTTAGCCAGAATGTCTTGGGTTCCCATGTCCACAACCCAGTCCAACAGGATTTAAAGGAACTGTGGGGATATTGACAGGTTTATCTGAGAAATCAATGTGGGCCTCAAGCCTGGCTGGACGCTGCAGGATAAAGGCACAGGAGGAGGAAGATCTGTGGGGAGATAAGGAATTCAGGTCGGTCCACTTGGGGTTCTCAGATGAAGCTATCTAGGATCAGGCTCCTCATCTTGTTCTGTGCTTTGTGAGGGCTTTGCACATTCTCTGTGTTCATAGTGGCAAAATGGCCACCAGCAACTCCAAGCTAACATCTCACCAACTGAGCCATCCTCCTGGCGCAAGTCACTTCCTTCTCCAGAGTTCCAGCAAAAGCCCCCATCCAACTCTTACCAGCTGGGTCAGGTCATGTGATCAGCCTAGAACCGATCACTGTAGCCAAGGAAATGGAATGCCCTGATTGGAGGAGGCAATTGGAATGTGCCCATTCCTGGTTCAGTGGCCCCTGCTTAGAAGCAGAGTGTAAACAAAAGTGCTAGAAAAAGAGTCACTAGGAGTAGGCTGAAGGAAGCAAAAAAAGAGCCCAAGTGAGAGGATGTGGAGGGGTGAGCAGGGCCACTGGTGTTTGTGGGGCGGAGGAACATGGAATTTCTCTTGCTAGCAGTGGGGAGCCATGGACAACATCTATAGGGGAGAGACTGGGGCAGGCAGGGATTGGGGTGCAGGCCAGAGGCAGGACAGCTGTGAAGGGGCAGCAATCATAGGAAGAGAGAATGAGGCTGTACCTGAGAGAGAGAGGCAATGATGACAGATGTCATCATCCTGCACCCTGAGGTGGCCACTGATCAGCTCTGTCCATCATTGGCACTCGGGGACATGCACCCAGCATGGCCAGAATTTCTGACTCCTCAGGAGAAGTGGTAAACTGGAATTTATGCATGAAAGAAACCTCTCAGTTTTTAGAGGTTGGTGACTCATTCAAAGAATTTTAAACACATACTCTTGGCTTGACTTGTCTGCAGGTTACATGTTTATTAACCTCTGAGCCCCCAATGTGGGCTCCACTTCTGAGCTTAGGTCCCTCCCATGCCTGGAGTCTAGTCTTGCCCTTACCCAAGGCTATCCAACAGCCTATGCCTCATAAAGACGACTCATGCCTATGGCCTCTATGGCCCAGCAGCCACTTGACTTGTCCTCTCAGCTCTATGCTAGAGCTGCCCTCAGCACCTGCCCCAGCTCTTCCCTCTACTCAGCCTCCCCACATCTAGCCCCTCTGGGTCCTTTGATGAAAGCCAGGGGAGGATAGGAAGGACTGAGGGACCCAAAGGACTGGGCATGATGGGAAGGGTGGGGGTAAAGATGATGCCTAAGCATTGAGCCTGGGTGATGAGGTAGGGACAGCACTGTCCTCCATGATGAGGACCCAGAGGAGCAAGTTCTAAGGGGAGATGAGTTTAGGTTGCTTTAGCTGAATTCTTGTTTGTATAGTGGTTAGAACTCTGCGTTGAGATAGATTTCATCTACCATAATAGTCATTACTCTCAAAAAAAATACAACTTTGTGGTTTTTAGTATATTCACAAAGTTATGCAACATCACCACTATCTAATTCCAGAACATTTTCATTATTCCAGAAAGAAACTATCGACCCCTTAGCAATCACTCTCCCTCCCATTTTCCTTTTCACAGTCTACTTAGCTTGTTCTGAGAATTTCATACAAATAGAATCATACAATATGTGGTATTTTGTGACTTGTTTCTTTTGCCTACTATAATGTTTTCAAGGCTTGTCCATTTTGGTTGGTTTTAACCTGTATCAGTACTTCATTACTTTTATGCTTATTTGTTTTTAGAGACAGGATTTCTCTTTGTCACCCAGGCTAGAGTACAGTGTACTCACTGTAACCTTGAACTTCAGGGCTCAAGCAATCCTCTGGCCTTAACCTTCCAAGTAGCTAGGACTACAAATGAGTGCCACCACACCCAGCTAATTTTTTAAAATGTTACAGAGATGGGATCTTGATAACCTTGTTCAGGCTGGTCTCAAACTTCTTGCCTCAAGCAATTCTCCTGCCTCAGCCTGCCAAAGTGCTGAGATTACACACATGAGCCACCACATCCAGCCTTCATTACTTTTTATAGCTAACTAATATTCCATTGTATAGATAGATCACTTTTTTTTTTTTTAGATATTTATTTATCTTTTTTGGAGATAGAGCCTCAAGCTGTCCCCCTGGGTAGAGCACCGTGGCATCACAGCTCACAGCAAACTCCAACTCCTGGGCTCAAGCGAGTCTCCTGCCTCAGCCTCCCAAGTAGCTGGGACCACAGGCACCCGCCACAACGCCTGGCTATTTTTTGGTAGCAGCCGTCATTGTTGTTTTTGGCGGGCCCAGGCTGTATTTGAACCCGCCACCTTAGGTGTATGCGGCTGGCGCCTTAGCCACTTGAGCCACAGGCGCCGAGCCAGATCATTTTTTTTTTTTAAGACAAAGTCTCAATTTTTTGCCCTCAGGAGAGTGCAACATAGCTCACAGGGATCATAGCTCACAGCAACCACAAATTCTTGGGCTCAAGCAATCCTCTTCTTGTCTCAGTCGCAATGCCTGGCTAGTTTTAGAGACAGGGTGTCACTCTTGCTCAGGTTGGTCTTGAACTCCTGAACTCAGGCAATCCACCCACCTCCGCCTCCCAGAGTGCTAGGATTACAAGTGTGAGCCACTGCACACAGCCTAGATCACACTTTGTTTAGCCACTCATCAGCTGATGGACATTCAGGTTGTTTCTACTTCTTGGCTCTTATGAATAATGCTGCCACGAATATTTGTGTGCAAGTTTTGTACGAATATAAGTTTTTATTTCTCTTGGGTTTATACCTGCAAGTGGAATTGCTGGGCTAATGAAATTCCGTGCTTAACTTTGAGGAACTTCAGGACTGTTTCTAAAAGGGTCTATTTGAGCTTGAGGTACCTGTGAGATGTCTGAGGTCAGGGGGAGGGAAGATGCAAGTCTCCAAACAGAGATGCAGACATTTATATACAGATGGTCCCTGACTTGCATGGTTCAACTTAACAATTTCTCAACTTTATGATGAGTTGGTCATAAGTTGAGGGGAAACTAGATTTATGAAGCTCTGACTTGCAATTTTTTGACTTTATGATGGATTTATTGGATATTAAATACATTTTTGACTTATAGTGGGTTTATTGAGATGTAGTCTCATTGTAAGCTAGGGAACATCTGGGTAAGTTCCCTGAGTGCAGGATTTTATTTGTTCACTTCTGTATTTTTAGTGACTAGACCAAGCTTGGCATATAATAGAGGTTTGATAAATACATATTTGTTGAATGACTAAATGAACATGTTGGATTGAATCTCAGGCAAGAGTGAGTGACAGTTTATTTGGGGTTCTGTCTGGGCCATGAGTGCAAGCCAGGTGACTGGGGCAGATTGCCACTGAGAGAGGAATTAGGGCAGCAGTACCAGAGACTTAAAAATAGGAGAGTTTAGTTATTAGATGTCTATTGTGTGCCAGGCATTGTGCTAATTTCTTTAAAGAAAACTCATAGAAACTTCTCCCACTCAATTACCTAGATGTTTTTTTTTCCCCTGGAGCCCAGGACTGAGAATATAGTAGGGCCTTGCTAATTATTTAGTGAGCAGTGTCTTGGAGTAAAACAGAGGCCATCATCTCTGTTTTACTGAGCAAACTAGGGCTCAGAGAAGTTTAGTGTCTACCCTGAAGCTGCACTAATTTTGCACGAGTGCAAAGGCATGAGCCACCATGCCCAAGCTGGGGAGCGGCAGGGCTTATACCTGACCTTCAGCCTCTCCACCATGTGCCCTCTTCCACAAAGGGCCAGAGGAAAAGAGAGTCCCAGGACAGGGCATTGCTGAGAACCAGGTGGAAAGCCTGGGAAAGATTATTTCTGAAAGGGGAGTAACTTCTGAAGATGCCAGTGTCTTTGCCATTGGGACCCCTTGGTGGCCTTCCTGAGTGGTGACAAAGCCAGGTTACAAAGTGTGTTTTAGGAGGAGTGAGCCTGGCACCATAGTCATTCTACCATTACCAGAACCCTTTGACCCTCAAGACAGGCATCCCCAGGGGTAGACACAGCCTGGAAACTTTAGGCAGCCCTTACACAGAGCCTTCTGCTTGCCATCTGTGCTCTGGCTCCTAGGAGACACATTGAAGCCAGTGCTTCCACTAAGCAGTGGAAGAGGGCAGAGCCCTGGGCACCTCAAGCCCAGGGGATCTGCCTCCAGGAAGGCCTCAGATTCTTGGAAGGCACATTCCCCCAAGCCTCAGTTTCCCCAACTATGTTATGAGTTGTTACTGGGCAAAGAGAGAAATGCTGCTAGGATGTTACGTGCCAAGAGGGAGGGAAGTGGTGTCTCCTACAAAGGGCTTCAAGAATATGAAGCAGCTCTCCCAACCCCCCTGCAACTGCTTCTTCAAACTTGGCCACAGAGCCAAAAGTCTTCCTGGAAGAAGGGACCTAAGGAGCGTGGAGGGAAGGGTGATGTCATGACGCTTCACTGGAAATGATGTGGATGTGGCAAGCTCTGGATACTGAGAATCAAGAGCATTTATCATGCCTCACCTGTTGCTATCTGGGACCAGCAGGGGACAGGGCCCATCCATAAACCCATCCCTGTTACCAGGAGGATGGAACAGTGATTGGTAAGTCTTAGTCATCTGTCTACCACTAGGACTAAGAAGGAGGCTAGTCCATCAAACCTCCCAGACAGGAAGTGTAGAACTCAAGGAATGGGAAATTTGAATTCTGGGAAAGGAAGGCCAGAATTTCCCAAGAGAGATCTCTAACCTGAGCCACTTCCATAGGGGACTCAACTGTGGGCCTGGATGCTGAATAATAATAATAATAACTAATATCTATACAACACTTACTTGTTCTAAGTGTTTTTCCAGGCATTCACTCATTTAACCACTACCATCACCACTACTACAAGTACTATTGTTACTCCCATTTTACAGAGGAGAAAACTGAGGCAGACTGGGTACAGTGGCTCACACCTGTAATCCTAGCACTCTGAGGCAGAATGATCACTTGAATTCAGGAGTTCAAGACCTGGGCAAGAATGAGACCCTGTCTCTACTAAAAATAGAAAAATTAGCCAGACATTGTGGCAGGTGCCTGGAGTCCCAGCTACTTGGGAGGCTGAGGCAGGACGATTGCCCTAAGCCCCGGAGTTCTAGGTTGCTCTGAGCTAGACTATGGCAGGGAGGATTTAATAGCCTTCCCCAAATCACACAGCCAGTGGCCAATGAATAGGGGAGCTTAGTTTCAGATCAGAGCTGCTGGGCACCAAAGGTCAGACTCTTAGCCCGCATCCTCTTGGTGGGTGCTGTTTCTTGGTGGAGAACCTCAGGAAGCAAAGAGCTCCCTGAGAAGGAGGATTGGGGTCTAAGAGGCTTGGTCTCCAGGTCCCAGAAAACTGCTCTTGGAAAAGCTTCTGAAAGCATCTCAGTCTCCTCCTTCCCCAGAATTAGTAGACTGCAGGCACAGGCCAGCAGGGGGCAGCAGGTGAGGCTGTCCTGCCTCCTGGCCAAGACTTAGATCAGGAGCAGCAAGTGGCTCAGAGACACACCAGGGAGAGCAAGAAGTCCATGACATGCTGGGCTAGGGCCAGAACCACAACTCCCTGTGGCCCTCTGTCCCCCAGGTGGGTGTTTGTCTATGAGAAGGGCTACCAGACGTCAAGCGGCCTCATCAGCAGTGTGTCTGTGAAGCTCAAGGGCCTGGCTGTGACCCAGCTCCCGGGCCTCGGCCCCCAGGTCTGGGATGTGGCAGACTACGTCTTCCCAGCCCAGGTGAGCACCTTCTACTCACAGGGCCTGGCTCAGAGCTGGGTGGGGCTGTGTCCCACCTTCCCGTGGGACCAGTCCTGTTCCCATCACTCTCTGGACCTGTTTTTCTGACTGAACCAGTGGCAGAAGCAGCCTGGTAACATCACCCCACTTTGACATCATGGGTGTAGAGGCTGCTGGGTGTTGTGGGGGCTCTGAGGGGCCTGTTGCGCCAGTGTGTGGGTTCCCAGCTCCCAACTCTGCCCCACCCTCCCCTTCCCTTTCAGGGGGACAGCTCCTTCGTGGTCATGACCAACTTCATTATGACCCCAAAGCAGGTACAAGGCTACTGCGCAGAGGTGAGGACTTCTGCCCACTCTCCTTCTTAGATCCATATGAAAAAATGCCATGAAGAGGAGGTCCCCTTGGGCATTGAAGGTGAAGCTGGACAGGCTTCCTGCAGGGGCCCCACTGGTAGAATTTAGGGCCTAGCTTAACACCAAGTAACTGTCAACCCTGATGGTGCTGAATCTTCCCTCCCAGTGGGGTACCAACCTCATCCCCCAACTTCCCACCCATGGCCATGGGCAGCTGGGCATGAGGAGTGCTCAGGAAAGCAGTGTGGGCAGAACCCAAGAGGAAAGGGATCTGAAACTGTCCCATGCCCTCCCTGGGGCCCTGAGGATGTGGGAGGGGGGATCCTCTCAGGACCTCACACAGTGGTCCTGGGGCCAGTAGCTTTCCCCTCCCCCAGCACCCGGAAGGGGGTCTGTGCAGGGATGACAGTGGCTGCACCCCTGGGAAGGCAGAAAGGAAGGCCCAAGGTAAGGCAGCCTCCTGTCCTCTCCACAGCCCCTCAGCTCCAGGCCCTGCTGTCCTACTGGCCCATCCTGGCACTGACCTGCCTTTTACAACACTCCTCCTGCCAAGTTGTCCTTCTCTAGGGAACTCCTGCCACCCTGGGTTGGTCAGCCTTATCCTGGGTCCAGTCACATTTCTGTCCTCCAGCTCCTCTTAGATAGTCTCTTACTGGGGCATCCTGGAAGAGGAGCGTCCTCTACACCCCTGGCTTGGGGTGGGCACCCAGGGCTTTCTCCCTCATTCTAGGCATCCGCACGGGCAAGTGTGTGCCCTTCAATGACACTGTGAAGACATGTGAGATCTTTGGCTGGTGCCCCGTGGAAGTGGATGACAATATTCCACGGTAACATCGTGTCCTTCCAGGGAGCTAGGAACAGGATCCCCAGTCCAGAAAGGGATCTGATCTGGAAAGGATGTGTGTCCCCTTTCTCTGACCCCATCTTCATCCTATCCATATGGCTCAGGCCAAGGATCACCCCGGTCCCTGATCAGAGGCTGTGAGCCTACCATTACAGCACACCACCTCACCACCATCCAAGGCTGCAGGAGGATCCTACGTGCTCTCACTACCCCCAGCCCCCACCATCCCCACCATCCCCACCATGCATGGCACACATAGGGAAACTCCTGGGAAGGGGTAGTGAGTGAGTGTTGTCTCCTCCAGCCCTGCCCTTCTTCGAGAGGCCGAGAACTTCACTCTCTTCATTAAGAACAGCATCAGTTTTCCACGCTTCAAGGTCAACAGGTCCGTGGGAAATGTGGGCAGAAATGCAGGCAGCTCCCAATGCTGCTCCAGCTGGTTTCAAATGTCTCTGGCTCCTTCTGTTCCTGCTGGTTTCTCTCTGGAGGCAGAAACCTGGACTGGGTCCCTGGGGTGGGCTACTGAAGAACAGGGTTTTCTGGAGCCCATGAGGGATCACCAGAGCTTGGGGGCACATTGCTGCTGCCAATATCCTCCATCCCCATAGGCGCAACCTGGTGGAGGAGGTAGATGCCGCCTACATGAAGACCTGCCTCTATCACAAGACCCTGCACCCACTGTGCCCTGTCTTTAAACTTGGCTACGTGGTGCAAGAGTCAGGCCAGAATTTTGGCACCTTGGCTGAGAAGGTATGGGGGATGGTGCCAGGCAAGTGGGGAGGGCTGGGCCCTAGGATCATAATAAGACTTTTCAGGCCCAGTTAATCCTCCCAAGCTTCCCTGGTGTGGGCTGAGTATATGTCCAGGTCTGTCCCTAATACTGGGGCCCCTGGGAGGGTCAGATCTGGCATGGACCTGGTACAAAGGAGGTGCCCAGAATGAATGGGTGTGGGCAGACATCGGTACCTGTATGTTTGCTGATGTCCTGCTATTTAAAAAATATTAGATAAAAGCAACTTGAATCCTGTGCCCTGAGATTCACACAGTCACCTAGGGTTTCAAGAGAAGCAATACCTTGTAACGAGCACAGTCCAGGCTGGTTGGGTTCAAATCCCAGCTCTGCCCTAATGAGCAGCTTGAACTCAGATGAGTGTCATAACTGCAGTGTATCTGAGCTTTTGCACTCATCAAGTGAGGACAACAATAATGCCAGTCTCACGGAGTTTTCTGGAGGATCAAGTGAGTTCATAACTGTGACTACACTTCAGTACTGCCTAGCAGGTGGCAAACCTATGTAACCTGTTCCCACATGTTCCTTATTATCCCTACTCTTGCAGCTGCCTATCTAGGGATGGAAATAATTCCTTTTCTGAGACGTTACCAAAGAAAAAAAACAACCCCCCCCACCATAATTTGTCTATAGCAAAGGTCAGCAAACTTTTTCTTTCAAGAATCAGTAAATATTTTCAGCTTTGCAGGCTGTATGGTCTCTGCGCCAACTACCCAAGTCAGCTGTTGCAGGAAGCAGCCACAGATGATCTGTGAACAAGGGACGTGGCCAGATTCCATTCACGGGCTCCAGTTGGGTGCTCCTGGAGGGGGGTTTCAAAGTTGGCTGACCCCTGAAAAGGGGTTACATCACAGCAACACATATGACCTAAAAGCTGCACATTAGATCCCCCTGTTTCTAAAGATCTCCTTGCCAGCCCCCTCTGGAAATATCTTAGTACCAAGTTGCCCAGCTTCCTGCCTCCTTCTCTGAGCACCTCCCAACTCTTCTGTTGCTCAGCTCTCCCCCATCTGTCCCAGAGGAGCTTCTCTTCCTCAAGTGTTCTCTTCCCAATCTGCATTTACTCTTTCATTTAACAGCTATTTACTTGTTTGCCTCCCACATTGTGACTTATGGTAGGAACCCAGGAGTCAGTTACAAGTGAGACAGATAGCTCTATCCTTCTAGAGCTTATAGTTTTGGAGGAGATGGCTTAATAAATGACCACACAAAATAAACATGGGATTGATTACAAAGTGACAAATGTTCTAAAAGAAAACATACAGTTATTCCCACAACAGCAGGGAATAATAAAGATTTTAGATTGGGGGTGGTTCTCAGGGAAGGATGAGAAAAAGCCAGTCTATGGAAAACAAGGAAGAGGAAAACAGCATGTGCAAAGGCCCTGAGGTAGGAAGAACTTATATTCTAGAAATGGTCAGAGAACTGGAGTGTAGAGTGTGATGAGAGGGTGGTGAGGCCAGAGAGGGTGACAGGACCTCTACCCCAAAGCAGAGTCTCAGTGTCCTTTCTCAAACAAAAATATTCCCTTTTCGAGACCATCCTAGAACCAGATATAAGACAGGAGTTTCTTGATTCTGAAATCCCAGATCTTAAATGCCTGTGTTTCTGGTAGGGTGGGGTGGTCGGCATCACCATCGACTGGGACTGTGACCTGGATTGGCATGTACGACACTGCAAACCTATCTACGAATTTCATGGGCTGTATGAGGAGAAAAGTCTGTCTCAAGGCTTCAACTTCAGGTGCCTGCCAGGCCCCCTCCAACATATCCTTATTTGTGATCCTGTGGGATTTTCTACTTTTAGAACCCCATGGGGCTGAGCAAATGTCCCCAGAGGGGAGCAGAGGACCTTGGGCAGCTCCTATTCTGTCCAAATGGCTAAACAGGAAACCAAAAGGGAGAAATACCTTGGAGGCCTGAATCCCCTACCCCTGGGTCTCAGATGCATTGAGGCCCACCTGTCTGGGACTAGCTGGGGAAATTGCTGAGATCTGGAACTGGGGCAAGGGTACAGCATTCCTGGAATCAGAGCTGGGAGCCTGCCTGGGGTTGGGATGGGCTGTATCTACAGACCTCTAAGGTTCCTGCATCTTTGATGCTCTGAGGCCAGCCCCACAAAAGTTCTCCATCAGCCTCCTTCCACCTCATCCCTTCTCCAAGGTTTGCCAGGCACTTCGCAGAGAATGGGACCAACTACCGTCACCTCTTCAAAGTGTTTGGGATTCGCTTTGACATCCTGGTGGATGGCAAGGTGAGTGTTCAGTGTGAGGGGGCTGGCAGTTGAGACATGTTCTCTGTTCCTGTGAATGCCTTTGGGTGTCTGCAGTTATGGATGACAGGTGGGTTCATGCTAATAATAAGTGGGGCTTGGGGGATATTGAGGGCACAGCTTCACAGCCTATGACTGTGCCTTCCCAACAATTCTCTGGGTCCAGGGAGGCAGAGCCAAGGTCACAATGTCAAAACCCAGGTCTTCTGACTGGCAGCTGGTTACCTGTGTACAGTCAGAGCCCTGGGCAGCAGGCAGTGGGGAAGGTCATAGCCAAGGAGTAGGGAAGCCCCTTGTCTCAGGGTTGGCCTTTCCCAGCCTGGTCCCTTCTAACTATTGACCCTTCTCTCCCTGGGTCCTCCCACCAGGCCGGAAAGTTTGATATCATCCCCACAATGACCACCATTGGCTCTGGGATTGGCATTTTTGGGGTGGTAAGTGTTTGGGTCATCAGGTCACTGTGCTGAGGTCAGCCCCTCCTCTTCACCGCTCAGCAGCAACAAGCCCCTCACCCTAAAACTTGATGCTGTCTATTCATTGAGCCAGCAGCTGGCCAGCCCACCACCCTGGATCCACCAGAGCAGGGCAGGACAGATATGGGGTGTGGCTGTATTGGTGCCCTGAGGGTCCTGCAGTGCCTCATCCCATCCCTCCCACTACAACATTGAGCTCTAGAAAGGAAGCTTCAGCCAGGGCAACTCTGTGAGCAGAAACTGAGGAGGGATGTAGAAGGCTCTGTACCTGCCCCCTGACTCCCATGCTCTACCCGCACCCCTCCTTGCCCCCAGGCCACAGTTCTCTGTGACCTGCTGCTGCTCCACATCCTGCCCAAGAGGCACTACTATAAGCAGAAGAAGTTCAAATACGCGGAGGACATGGGACCAGGCGCGGTAAGAGAGCCCTGAGTGGGGTTTTTCAAAGGCCTCCAGCTTGTGGGTTTTGTGGGGCAGCTGCTTCCCCAGGGCTGACTTGCATTCCCCCCACTGCATACACAGGGTGAGCGAGACCCCGCGGCCACTAGCTCCACTCTGGGCCTGCAGGAGAACATGAAGACATCCTGACCTTCAGCCCCGGCTCCTGGCCGGACTCAGCGTGAGGCTTCAGGCTGGAGCCCATCCTGGAGCCCAGGAAGTCTTCAGCCCTCTCAGCCAGGCAGATAACAGTTTATTGGCAGTTCATGGTGGATGGACCCTAGGAGAGATCTGTGCAATTCTGGGCTCTGACTTCAGCCACACTCCAGGGGATCCCCCAGGCTCAGCCGCTTCTGGTTGGGAAGGGTCCCACACACACCTGTACCCTGGCTTTGTGCTTCTCTTTGGGCCCTCATTATCCATCCACTGCCTCAGTTTCCCAATCTATGCTCTCCAATGTGGCAGCCACTAGCCACAGGCGACTATTTAAATTTAATTTAAATAAAATTGAATAAAATAAAAAAAATTAGTTCCTCAGTGGAACTAACCACATTTCAACTGCATGGTGGCTAGTGGCTGCCAAGCAGGACAGCAGAGAACACATGTGGCTAGTGGCTGCCAAGCAGGACAGCAGAGAACAATTTTGTCATTACAGAAAGTTCTTTTGGACCGTTCTGTTCAAGCCCTGTCTCTTCCTAGCCTGAGATTTCCCTGGGGATTTTACAGACAATGCAAGACACTTAGGCCCACCCTAGACCTCTCCAACTAAAGTTTCAGTGATGACCACATGATTCGCACAAACAGTAAACTTCCTGGGCCATTTTGGGACTTAAGTTTAAGAGCTGCTGCCTTATAACTTTCTGACTCTATGCTCCTGATTGGGTGCCAAACTTAGCCTTGGGCCCGCACCCCCTGACAGGTACAGGCATTGAGCAGGGTCTCAAACACCTCAGCACGTGTGTAGTGTGCCCAGGTATCACGTGGTGTCTCGTGCACACAGCCCAACATACACACCATCCACATGCACACAACCCTCCATTCACACTGTGGATTTGAACAGAAGGGACCTGTGCACAGAATCATCTGAACACACCTCAGTCCCAGCAGACGCATGGTCTATGCCATGTCACCTCCATGGGGAAATGCTTCTCCCCAAGTGTGTCTGGCCAGGCTCACTTCCAGCCGTGAACCCTCACTCACCTACCTCAGGTTGGGGTGGGAGCCTCAGCTGAATGTTGGGCTCCCTGCCTGTGGCTCAGGCCCCAGGTCCCATAGCCTGCTTGGCTCTGTCTGGACACCAGGTCTGCAGAAAGTCAGGGTGGGGTATAATAAAGGAATGAGGACAAAGCTCTAGCTTCTGTGCTTTCTGTCCAGACTCTCCGAAACTCAATGTGCCCCCCTGTGAAATGTGGGGCTGGCAATCTTTGAGGTCCCTCTGGATATGCTGGTGGGTGGCAGTGAGCCAATTTGTATGCTCTGAGCCCAGCAGGGTTAGTGCCAGGGGTCAGTTCATCCCTGTCTGTGGGCCCCACAGGACATGGACACTCTTCCCAATCCTTCAGAAGCCCTTCCTATGGCTGAGAGGCCTGGCACTGGGACAAGTAGAGAAGCCAAGGAGCAGCCTCATCAAACGGTGGGGGAGGGAGGGGCAGGCCATCCCAGAAGGGGGATCTCAGGGAATCCCAAAGACAGGAGGAAGGCCTTGACTGGAGACTGTGGAAGGATTCTCCAGGGGTCCTGCTGTGGTCATGACCTCCCACCTGGACTTACAGCCAAATAGGGTCTCTGGGCACACTATCACCATGCTCTGTCTAGACCAGTGCTGTCCAACAGAACTTCTTGCAATTATGGAAATGGTCTCTCTCTGTGCTGCCCAATGTGGTACCCAATAGCCATAGGTGGACACTGAGCACTTGAAATGTGGACAGTGCAACCAAGAAACTAAAGTTTTTATTTTATTTATTTTCAATTAATTCAAATAGCCACACATGGCCAAATGGGGACCAGATTAAACAACACAGGCGAGCCCCTCCCTTCCCCCTCAGGCCCTTGGCCTGTTGCCCTCCTCCTCAATCCTCCCCAGATTTTACAAGACAGGAACTCCCTCTCTGCCTTCCCTCCCTTCTCCAGGCCCACCTGATTTTGCCCCTCCTGCCTCCTTCCCTCCTGAAAGAGCAAGAAAGGGCTCCTCCTCTGTACCCAAGTCTGCTCCCCATTTCAGAGACCTCCACAGAAGCTGCCCCTTCTCTCTCCCACTCCTCCTTTCTTCCCCTCTTCTGCCTTCTCCTGGCCCAAGTCCCCCTGCAGCTCTCCCTTCATTGCCACCCTTCCAGAAAGACCTGTCTGCTCTTCCCTCTGCAATTGGCTTCCACTCTTGCCACTTTTCCTTGCTGCCCTTTCCAAGGTCACTAATAGTGTCTTCATTGTCAAATCCAAACAGACACTTTAGCCCGTGGCCTGTCCTCATCTGACACTGTTGCCCAAGCCCTTCTTGTTGAAAGATTTTCATGCAGCAGCTCCTAGGACCCATCCTTTCCTGATTTTTCCAGCCAGGCTGGTGTGCAGAGAAAGGTGGTCTTCAACTGCAGCTCTGACACAGCTTACTGTGTGTCCTTGGGCAATTTGCTTAACTCTCCATGGCTCCTCTATGATTCAGGGATAATAATAATCTTCACCAGGGTTGGGGTAAGATATGATATGTAAAGTACTTAGCACAGTGCCTGGCACACAGTAGTGCTCTGCCCATCAATCTATCCACCCTTCATTGGTGGAGTCAGCTAGGTGTCCTTGAGATATTTTTTCTCCCTATGGCAGTACAACCCTTGGTTCTTGGCTGGGTATGTGGCTGCCTTGAGTGGAAGTTGTATTTCCCAGCCTCCCCTTGCAGCTGGGTCTTGCCATGTGACTAAGTTCAAGCTAATGGGATATATGTAGAAGTGTCATGGGATAACTTCTGGGAACTTTCCTTAAAAACAAGTTGGTGCAAAGGAAGAGCAAAAAAGGGAAGGAGGGAAGGGGTGGAGTCTTGGTGTGTGACACACCTTTTGGGGGCAAGGCACAATTGTATGAGGGACTTTACCTAACAGATGCAATCAGTGTAACCTGGTTTCTTACACATTCAATGAACCCCAACAATAAAAAAAAAAATAAGTTGGTGCAAGTCCTGCTGACTTCATCATCCTTTTCTTCATCTTACTACCTGGAATATATATGTGATGGCTAGAGCACTAGATGCTATCCTGAACCATGAAGTCAAGAGCCACACTCAGAGGTTGCTTGAAGTATTCATTCAACAAACATCTACTGAGCACATATGCCATGTGTCAGATGAATTAGGCATAGTCCCTACTCCCAGGCAGCTCCTAGTCCATATGAGGAAAAGGCAGGTATGTAGATGCAGGACAGAAGGAAGCCTACAGGAGGGGGTGCTAACCCATGCTGGCTAGTAAGGCCATGGGGAGGGTTTCCTGGCAGAAGGGGCATTAAATAGGCCCCCAAAGACAAGTAGAAGTTACACAGGGATATGGTTAGGAATAAGGTTACAGAGGGCTTGACTGGACCTATTCTCTGGGTAGCAGTAAGCCATAGAAGATTCCTCACCAGAACTAGTTTGACTTGTGTTTTTTGAGAGATTGTTCCAGCTACCAGGTGAATAAAGGCTATTGGGATGGGGTGGGGCACCAGGAAAGAGGCTGCTGTAGTAATCAGATGCAAGATGGTGGTGGCCTGAGCTCAGGGAGTGGAAGAGGCGTGGGCAAATTCCAGAGATATTTAAGAGGCAGCATGGCAGGTCTGGTTGGGGCAGGAAACAGGAAGGCTGCAGGTGACTCCCAGGTTTCTTGCTTCTCTTTGAGACAGGGACACAGGAGGTCAGGTTTGAGGAGTGATAGGGGTTCTGTCTAAGGCAAGTGGTGGTGAAAGATGCCAGAGGAGTCACAAGTGGAGAAGACAGTATAATTGAACCAAGAGTTAGTGAGCTCGCCAAGGGAGTGGTGGAGGCAGAGTCCCCAGGAACAGCAGCTATGATGGTCACCAGGTCCTGTTGAGTTCCTCCCTTCCCTCTGCCCCAGCTAGGCCATTCCCCAAACATGAATCCGACTCCGACCCCAGCGCTCAATTGCTAAACTACCTTCTAGCTCGCCTAACTCCCACCCAGCAGAAGACTTACCTTCTGGGCCTGCCATTCAGGCCTCATCCTCATGATCTGTACCCCATCTCACCCTGCCGCTTCCTAGCACGTACCATGCCTCACCCCCGCAGGGAGAGGGCGCTCTTGGCCCCTGTAGGCCGGGAATGGGGCTGGAGACAAAGGGTTTTGTGCGGAAGCACCCGTACTCTGCAGGCTAAGCTAAAGGGCTCACGTCGCCACTGGAGTAATTTCGGGGTACCCTAGGCGGCTCTATCCAGGCGCCAGCGGCTTTACAAGCTCCTACCCCGCCGCAGGCCCCCCAGTGCCACCACCCGCAGCAGCCCTTCCCCTTCAGGAGTGGGGCAGGAGTCCTGGGCTCTGATTGGACGGCACTGGGGGCCGCGCGGCCGGACCAATGGGCGCTGTCCAGGAGCTGCGGCGGGCGGGGGAGAGAGCGCTGCCTGGAGCCCCGGCGCCGGCGGTCTGAGCTCGGCGATCCGGGCTCCGGCGAGGCGGCTGGGCGGGGCGCGCGCCACGGGAGCGAGCCTGGCCGCCTGCCGGTGCGCGGAGACTGTCGCCTGGCGCTCAGGTAGGAGACTGCCGGGAGGGGACTTAGAGCGGGGAGTGAAGGGACGAACGCCTGAACATCTGCCCGGAGGCTGCAGGGGTGAAGGGTGGGTTGAGAGGCCGCGTCTCTGAAGGTAGCCGGGACCTTGACTGAGGCGGGATTCTTTCCTTCTGTATGTGGGGTCAGGTCTGCGGGATACCTCTCTGAGCTAGCTTCCGTCTGCGCTGGCAGCTGGGACCGCATCTATGCGGGCGCCCCGCCATCTGGGTCCCTTCCCCAGCTCTTGTCTGCAGAACTGCAACCATACCGGGCACACTCTCCACCCCGCCCCGGCTCTTGGTGGAGATCGTGTCTATGTGGAATGGGCCCAGGCTGGTGCACCCACGTGTGAATCTCCAAGGAGTGCTCTTCCCACGGCCCTCCCGAGTCTTCCTTCAAGGGCTGGAGGTTGGGGTGGTGGTGGTGATGAATGGGACGGATGCGGCGTGTGGCTTTAGCTGCGCAGTCTTCCCCTCACTGGAGGGGGAGGGGGGCGGCGGAGGCTGGCGCTGCGGCTTCTGGGGCCGGGTAGGCACAAGACCGGTGCACACGTGCGCAGGGACCTGTGTGTGGTGTTTGGAGGCGGGTGTGCGTGTGTCACGTGGACGCAGGAGTGTGCCTGTGTGTGTGTGTGTGTGTGTGAGGGGGTGCGTTGCAGGATGGAGTGGTGTGTGAGGGCGGGTCACGCGGACATGGGCGTGCGCCTATCTGGGAGGGGTGTGTGCGCCTGTCTTGAGGGTGTTATAGAAATGATACAGGTCACAGGACAGTGCCTTGGTGGATGCCCACAGGGCTGTGGTCTGTCAGTGAGGCACAGGAGTGTGAAAGAGGCATAGAGCTTGTGTCCTTGAGGATCCCAGGGAAGAGTCTCTGGCGTCCCAAGCCCTGCCCTCCTTCATCCAGTACCTACAGATCGAGCACCCACTCTGTGCCAAACTGCGTCTTGAATCCACACATTCTAGGGACCCTCTTCCTTCTCTTTGGTCTCCTGTCTTCAGTCTCTAGGGCAGCCAGAGGAGTGGTTTTATTTGTTTGTTTGTTTGTTTATTTATTTATTTATTTTTGAGACAGAGTCTCACTTTGTTGCCCTCAGTAGAGTGCTCTGGTGTCCCAGCTCACAGCAACCTCAAACTCTTGGCTTAAGTGATTGTCTTGCCTCAGCCTCCGGAGTGGCTGGGACTACAGGTGCCCTCTGCAATGCGCAGCTGTTTTTAGAGACGGAGTCTCACTCTTGCTCAAGCTAGTCTCAAACTCCTGAGCTCAAGCAATCCTCCCACCTCTGCCTCCCGAAGTGCTAGGATTACAAGTGTGAGCCACTGCGCCCAGCCCACAGAAGTAGTTTTAAACCTTATCCAAGTCTGAGATCTAAAAACTCAAACCCTCCTCTGGCTCTGGAGGCCTCCTGGTCTCTGTCCATGAAGTCTCCCACACCCCCATGCCCCGAGTCCCAGCTAGCAAACCACTCTATTATGTACAGTGCAAATTTCCATCCTCTCCCCTTGGTCCTATTCAGTGGTCAAGAAGGAGTTTAAATGCCACCTCCTCCAGGAAGCCAACCCCGAAGCCAGTACAGGGAATGACTGAACCTTCTTTCCTACCAAAGATGGTAACTCTTTGTGCCATTGGATGCCTGTCCACTCCAGCCACATCAGCCTCCTTGCTATTCTTCCAACAGAGCAAGCGCTGTGCCATCTCACAAGGTTTGCTCTCGCTGGTCCCTCTGCCTGAAGTGCTCTTCCCCAGATGTCTAACACTGCCTGCTCCCTTACTTCCTTCAGTGATTTGCTCACATCCCAAAGGATTTCCCGAACTGTACTGTGTCCATAGCATCCCCCAACCACTACTGTTGATTCCCTTTACACTGCTGTATTTTTTTCATAGCACATACCACTTGATGTATTGTACTACATATATTAATTACTGGATTTCTTATTCATTACTTTTGCTTCTACTAGAAATTGAGAAACTGTATGAGAGCAGGGGGTTTGTCTTTTGGTTTACTTCTTTAGCTCCTGGCATCTAGGAGGATGCCTGGCACTTTGAGTGCTCCATGAATATTTATTCCATGAATGAATAACCCTGGATTTGCATCCTAGGAGTCTGTGTCCCTGGCTGCTCCCCAGCCTGTGAGCCCCTAGTCTGAGGATAGGTCTCCTGCTCCTCTGTCCCCCAGATTCCAAGTTCCTGGAAAGCTGGGGCTAAGAGAACTATGGCCATATTTGCATGTTAGAAATCCTCCCTCTAGCAACTGGTGTGGAGGATGGGGTTGGGAGCGGTGGGGGTGTGAGCGTGGAGGCAGCAGTGGGAAAGGAAAGTAGAGGTCAGAATCTAGACTTTTGAAGGGGTTCCACTTGGTGGGCTAGCCCAGCCAGCAGTAGGGGGATCGGGGAGGGTCCCCAGAAGGGTGGTGTCTGAGCTGTCCTCCAGGCAGCAAAGGAGAAGGAGGTGTGTTCCTGGCAGAAGGCACAGCTTGTACAAAGGCCTGGCAGCAGAACAGTCTGCAGTTTGGGAAGGTGGAATAGTGTGGTGCTTCTGGAGTGGAGAGTAAGTGTGGGGTGAGGGGGAGCAGGGATGGAGAGGGTAAGTGCTCTGGAAGCCCCTGGATTTCTGGCCTGGATCTGGCAAGAACTGGAGGTTGTTTTACTGTGTCTGTGATGGGGACAGAGGAGGAAGAACAGATTTGGGGGAAGATGCTGAGTTGAATTTGGGCCCTATTGGATCTAAGCCACTAAGGAATGGGGGGTGGGGGTGGGGAGGCAGCTAGCTGAAAGAGTTGGGCTGGAGGCACAGACCTGATGTGAAGGATGAGGAGGAGCAGAGGGAAAGGATGAAGGCTAGAGATCATCAGTGTATCAGTGTCCATGGGTGGGCTGAGAGGATGCTCTGAGGGTAGCTGTGCTGAGTCAGGCACAAAGCCCACCTCGGCACTTAGGGGCTCTCCAGGGAGGGTGGGAGGGGGCGTCCTCACAGCAGGCATCCTCAAGCATGACTTGGCACCAGATGCCTGGGCCTCCCTCAAGGGGACTGAGTCATCCTGGGTGGGGGCGGGAGCTGCGGAGGGCACCCGTTGCCAGGGCTATCCAGACACTTGTCAGGAGTATAAACACAGCTCCAGTGAGGTGGCCAAAGGATGTCAGGACCACCTTCTAGGTCTGGCCACTTGGTCAGGGCTGTTCATCCTAACTGCCTGACCAGTGGTGTCAAGACCTGGCACTGGGGTTCACAGCAGCTTTCCAGAAGTCAGAATGAGGCTTGACTGGTTCTAAAGTCTTCCCAGGCAGGGCTGCCTGAACTGGCGTGGAAGACAGCAGGGTCTGTCTGGTCTTTCCTGCTCTGGACCTCCACAGAGGGACTCAGGTGGATGGGGCATGTCCTAAGGAGGAGACCACACCAAGAGGGCATCCAGAGCCAGGGGACTGCATCCCTGGGAGTGGGAAGACACTTAAGGTGGGGCACAGCAGGAGGAGAAGCCTGAGGGGGTGCATGTGCCAGCCTGTCCTAGAGCTGGGGGTGGGGGGTGGGGAGGAGATGTGGGGTTATACTTTGTATTTCAAGGCTCAGTGGCTTCTAGACACAGATAACATCCTAGCCCCACAATGCTCTGGCATAAACTGCTTCTCTATCCACAACCTCATTTACTTCTTCCCATAGCTCTGGGAGTTGGTGGGATGGTGGCCCTTTATCTGATTCACATGCAAGGAAACTGAGGCTCTCTGAGGCTCAATAACTTGTGCAAGGCAGCAGAGCACCATCTGGGAGTTCCCTATTGGAGTAGCATTTTCCAGTGAGGGAGGGCCTGAGTCTGGCCACTCTTGGCCACAGGACTAGACCAGTCCCTGGGAAGCTCCACATGCCCACAGGAGTCCTTGCTGTCCCCTGGGCCTAGGTCCAAGCCTGCGTGTACATCTTTCTGTTTGCGCATGTGGTCTCCTAGTTACCAACTGAGTTACTTTGTACAGGGGTCTACTGAGGCCTCAGCTTGGGAAGGTCCTTGAAAGAGCTCTTGGGGACACATAATCCAGCCCAACAGGCAGCCCCAGTCTGGTGACTATGGGGGAAGTCCAGACTTAAAATCTGAGATCAGCCTCCCGTGGGCCCCAGGGGTGCAGGCGCACAGCCCCCATCCTGGGGCACATGTGCATACAGACCTGCTGGTCCCAAGTGCACACAAACACACTTGTACATAGACACAGAGCACACTGAATTTTTTGTCTCTGTACAGATGTGCTCCTGTGTGTGGGCTTACTGCACACACAGATACACTGTCTCCCCAAGCCAACAGCCCTGCTAACATGTATTCTCTCATGCACAGACACACGCCCTTACACGGATGGCCTTGGGCTCCAAGCCTTGTCGCCTGGACACGCGGCAGGATCCTGGGGCCTCCCTGGGCCGCCTCCCTCACAGACACGCTTAGTCACCTGAATTTGATCCAGGCAGGAGGGAGGGATGGAGGGCTTGACGTCAGCCCTCACAGCCGCCTTTCCGTCCGCCCGCGCATCCATCTGGGCCACAGCGTGTCCCAGGCAATCACAACAGCAGCACAACAACAACCCCCTTTCGTGGAGCTTCCTGAGTGGCAGGTCTTGTTCTGAGTCCCTCATGGGCATTCACTCCTTTATACCTAAAACACTCAGTGAGGGCTCTTTAGCCCCATTTTGCAGATGAGGAAAACCCAAGGCACAGAAGTGAAGTCACCTGCCCCGAAAGGGGCTCAGCCTAGCCACCTAGGCTCAGAGCCTGGGCTCTAAACCAGGTATCAGGGCCCCAGGCCAGGCTAGGGAGCCTTCTGCTCTGACTGCTGTGTGATCCCAGTACTAAACTGCTCTGCTGGGCATACTTTCCCATCTGAGAAAAGGAGGGAAGGGAGCTAGGATTAAAGGAACATGGCCTCTTGCTGGTATACAACCTCAGAGAAACCACCCCCACCCCCCAAGCAGCCTGTGGCTTCTACTGCCTGTGGTGGCTCTAAATCCTTACCTGGGGCTCCTTGGTCCCTGCCTGGGGCCGAAGAGTGATCTGATTGATCCCCTGATATGGACTGGGGCCAGAGGCTTGTTGGGGTGCCCTTTCTGTGGCTGCTTTCTCATCCATCTAGTGGGGACAGGGCTATAATGATCACTATGGCAACCACTCATTTATTCAACAAATATTTATCAAGCTCCTATTATGTGCCAGCACTGCTAAAGACACTAATGATACAGAATCCAGGCAGATAAGAGCCCTAATCTCATGAAGCTTATATTCTGGTTGGAGAAAAAGACCCACAGAGTGAGGGGAGGGGCAGTGGAGTGGGCCACCTACTGGGAGAAGCCTGGCCAGGCTCTGAGGGCTCCGCTCAGCCTTACCTACCTCCTTCCTGCAAGTGATCTGATTTCCAAAGCCTCCCTGAAGAGTCCAGTCACTCCCCTCCCTCGCCTCCTCCAGGAAGGCCTCCTTGGTGTTCTAGCCTCAGCAACTCCCCTCACTTCTCTAAGTCCAGCTTCCCTGTTGCCAGGCTGGATCTCCTTACCTCTTCCTTTCCACATGGTCAGCATCAGCTCTACTACCACCAGGCGTCTACTCATTCAGCATACTGTGTGCCAGGCACTGGGAGTCTGGACAATACCTTTATCCACAATCTACCTCCTGTAGGTCTAGGAAATCTGGAAAGATGTGGCATCTACAGTACGAATGGAGAGACCAAGTCTCAGAGTTTATAAGGAGCTTGCTAGGGTAGGCTGGTGGGAAGGACTGGAAACCAGCCCAGGCTCCTCTATCGCCAGTGATGGGGGACAGAGGGTAAGACGTGCACCTTACTCCATGACCCAGGTTCACAAAGTCTCTGTGTGAATGCAAAGGAAGTTACCACCAGACAGGAAGGACAGAGGGTCAAAAGTCCACTCACTTCCTTTTCCTGAGAAACCACTGAGTCTGGCCCCAAAGGGGATTGAGGGCATCAGGCTGGGGTGGGGTCAGTGCTCTGCCTAGGGCGGAGATGGGGTCCCAGTCTGGATGTCGGGGTTTAGCCTGGAATTGAGGCCCAGGGTCATGGCTGAAGGGGAGGGTTAGGGCTGAGGCTGGAGGCTGATTTGGGGTTTAGACTGCAGTAGGTCCACAGTAGGCATGAGAAGCCAGGCCAGGGGGAACATCTCAGCCTGACCAAATGCAGCAAACATTTTGGCACTGAATGAAGAGTAATAGGAGACTTGCCCAATGACCTTGGAGATGGTGAGAGATGGAAGTGGCTGGAGCCCCAGGGAATTCTGGAAGCAGTGAGAGAGATAGGGGTAGGAGGCTGAAATGCCAGGGAGGCCTCCCTGGAGGAGGCCAGCTTCTAGGAGGCAGCATTGGAATGCCCTGCTGTGAAGGGGTGGGGTTCGTGAGTCACTGGGCTGCATGCCATCGGGGATTGAGCTAGCCCTAGGCTCTGCCCCCTCCCAGTGCTGCTGGGTCTTCTGTCCGTGTCTATCTGTCCTGACTCGAGATTATGAGGTCTGTCTGCTTCCCATGGAGCCACTGAGTAGGAGTGACTGTGCCTGTTTTGCAGGTAGGGACACTGAGGTCTGAGGGCTGGCATGTACACAGCCAGACTAGTTCCTGGAATTCGTTCAATTAGTAGGGATAGATCTGAGGTTGGATGCTGGCAACCCAGGCAGAGGGAACAGCCAGGGCAAAGACACGGAGGCGGGACCCACCGGGTTGTGGCTACAAGGGGCGAAGGGCTTAGATCCGACCTCCTTGCCTTGTAGCCAGCCTGACATCCAGGAGTGAGGCCTTCTCTGCCTTCTTTTCTCAGGTTTCCAACAAGGCTGCACAGACAACCCCCTTGACTGAGGCAATGGAGGGGGGCCCTGCTGTCTGCTGCCAGGACCCTCGGGCAGAGCTGGTAGAACGGGTGGCAGCCATCGATGTGGCCCACTTGGAAGAGGTGGATGGTGGTGCAGAGCCTGCCAGGAATGGTGTGGACCCTCCGCCACGGGCTAGAGCTGCTTCTGTGATCCCTGGCAGTGCTTCAAGACCCCCCCTAGCCCGGCCCAGCCTCTCAGCTAGGAAGTTCTCCTTGCAGGAGCGGCCAGCGGGAAGTTGCCTGGAGGCCCAGGCTGGGCCTTATGCCACGGGGCCTGCCAGCCACATCTCCCCACGGGCCTGGCGGAGGCCCACCATAGAGTCCCACCACGTGGCCATCTCGGACTCAGAGGTTGGTGGGGCAGAGCTAGGGGTTGTTTATGAGCCCTTCAGTAGGCCACACTGAAGACTCTTTTCTGCCCCCATCTGTGCCACACACTATCTAGCTTTGGTTTGTATACCCTCAGATTTGGGGAGCTCACTACCTAATGGTACATCCTCTTCCCACTCAGAGGAGCTCTAGCTGAGCAAAAGGCTGTCTCCCATAAGTCCTAGCATTCCCACCCCAGCCCAGGCCTAGGAAATAGGTCTATGCCTTGTCCCTAAGAAATCCTCTTATGTCCTGGGCAGCATAGTGAGACCCCCATGGTGGTAACTAGCTACTTGGGAGGCTGAGCCAGGAGGTTCACTGGAACCTGGGAGTTGGAGGTTTCAGTGAGCTGGAGTCATGCCACTGAACAACAGAGTGTGACCCTGTCTCAAAAAAAAAAAAAATCCTCTTATAGATCTGAAGATAGGTGATATGTCCCCCTGCCCCTTAAGTCTTCCCTGGCTTGAGACTCTCACCTCTAATCCTGTCTCTTAGAGTCTGCTCTGGCTCAGAAGTAGCCAGTATGCTGCCAGCCTCTGGGCTCCTGCTGGCCTTGTCCTTGCCACTTATATTTGAAAGTGACTGTGGATCCCACGCAATATACAGATTTCACAGGCTGAGCTTTTTGTTCCTGAATCAAGGCATTCAGTCTTTGTCCCCAAGGCTCTATCATCTTTCTAGGTCTTGTAGTCTATACCTTCTCATTCTGGTAGAACCTCCATAGTTGACCACCTCCCTGCATCGAGCTAATTTTCATAGACCAGACATGCACCACATGTACATATCAATACAATAGGCCTAGTTCCTTATGTTGGACGACCTCCATATGTAGGCCAGTTTATTATAGTCCTTTGGGTGGTCAACTTACAGCAAATCTACTATATTTGCTCATGGGTTCCTCATCTAGGCAGGTTAGTGCATTTTCCCTTCACTACTTCCATTGGAACAAAGCATAGGCCTCATCATTCGTTTTCAAACACTGTACAAGTCTTCTCATCACTTATGGTGGTGATGATGCCACCTACTTCCCCAAAAGGTTGATGAGACCAGGGAGTCCAGGAATGAGGGCCTGGGACTCCCAGAGGTGGGAAGCAGTGGCAACTCTGGGTCCAGGTGTACCTGATGTGGCCCTCCTTCCCCACAGGACTGTGTGCAGTTGAACCAGTATAAGCTGCAGAGCGAGATTGGCAAGGTAGGATTGGGACAGGGTGAGAGCCTCTGCTTGGCACTGTTCCTTCTCCTCTGTGGGTGGGAATATGAAATTGTGACACAGAGCCAAGAGAGCCCCAGTCTGGAGGTGAGGGAAGTTTTATCCTCTGTAGGAAATACCCAGGGGAAGGGTAGAGATGACCCCCTATTCCTGACCTCCCAGGGTTCCTAGTGTATGACCAGGAATAGGGAGGCCTAGAGATATGTTGAACAAAGTAGGCCAGTTACCAGGGCATAGAAATCCCCTCCCCTGTGTCTGGTGGTAGGAAGTGGAGATGGGCTGCAGGAGGAGTGTCAGAACTTTTGAGGCCCCCCATTTCCTGAGCTAGTCCTGGGAGGGATTACCTTGTCCAGGTGGGGCTGACCAATGCCTGTCTGCAGGGTGCCTACGGCGTGGTGAGGCTGGCCTACAATGAAAGTGAAGACAGACACTATGTGAGTCTGGGGATATGGGGAAGTATTGCTCACACCAGGCCCTAGAAGCCAGGGGGTGGGGCAAACGTTTCGTGGGGGAGATACAGGACATGGATTTCTTTGCTCCATGTCCCTAGGGGTCTGCAAAGGGAATGAACCTCCTGACCCTGGGGATATTCAAGCAGAGGCTGAGTGCCTCTGAGAGAGCTCTGGAAAGGCTTGTTGAGGGAAGAGGAGAAAGGCCTAGATTCAGATATGGCCACCTCCTAACCCAGCTTAACCTGGGCCATACCCTCGGTCCCAGTGGCAGATGTCCAGTGTGCCTTTCTGGACCTCAGTTCACATGTAATCAGTCTGCTTTAGCCTCTGGTGGCTGCACGCAAGTGATATTTCTGTCTTTCCCTAATTAGGCAATGAAAGTTCTTTCCAAAAAGAAGTTACTGAAGCAATATGGCTTTCCACGTATGTATCTATCTAGTCCTGTCCTTTGGAGATCCTAGCCTGTGAGGGTCAGAGGGAGAGAGGACTTCAGTTTCTGAGTTTGGGTTAGGAACAGGAGTGGGGCTATAGTGTGAGTAACTAATGGGGTGGAATGTGCTGGGTGGGTTGGGGCCATATTCTTGATTGAGGCTAATTGCAGTTCCATGGTGAGGCCCAGCCACTTAGAACAAGGGCTTGACTCCCCTTTCTGGTTACAGGTCGCCCTCCCCCAAGGGGGTCTCATGCTACCCAGGGAGGTCCAGCCAAGCAGCTGCTGCCCTTGGAGCGGGTATACCAGGAAATTGCCATCCTAAAGAAGCTGGACCATATTAATGTGGTCAAACTGATTGAGGTAGGAGATCATGGTGAACAGATGAGATAGGTCTATAGCAGGTTCCACTTTCATCCATTTATTTCCTCTGACATCCTGGGTTCCCTGTCCTGGGAGCCAGTGCCCAAGTCCTATGTGCTGGCGGGCACCTAGCAAAGACCCAGGGATCCTGCCAAGAATAGGGCCAGACTTGGGGTGGGGCTGCAAGGAGACCTTGGGGGGCAGCTCAGGCTGGTCAGCAATGTCCTCAAGTTCTCACTGAGGGGAAAGGGCTGCCTAGAGGCTAGAAGTGAGCCCCTCATCACAGCAGGAAGAAAGAAGAACTGTAGGCTCAGCGCCTGTGGCTCAAGCGGCTAAGGTGCCAACCACATACACCTAAGGTGGCGGGTTCGAATCCCCAGCCCGGGCCCGCCAAACAACAATGATGGCTGCAACCAAAAAAAAATGGCCGGGCATTGTGGCAGGCGCCTGTAGTCCCATCTACTTGGGAGGCTGAGGCAGGAGACTCTCTTGAGTTCAGGAGTTGGAGGTTGCTGTGAGCGTGATGCCATGGCACTCTACCCAGGGGGATAGCTTGAGGCTCCGTCTCAAAAAAAAAAAAAAAGAAAGAAGAACCGTATACCATACAATGATCCAGAATTGAGGGTCAGTGATTTCTGATGCCCCTACATCTGTCTGACACCTGAACGGTTCCTGCTTCACTGTCTGGAGTAGTTGCAGAGCATACTAGGGAGCCTGCAGCAGGCAAGGACAAGGTCTGAGACCTTCCCCACCACATGCATCGTCAAGCCCCACACCCATGCCTGTTCCCTCTAACCAGGTCCTGGACGACCCAGCGGAGGACAATCTCTATTTGGGTGAGTGACTCAGCTCATTCCCATAGCAGGTCATCTAGGGCTGGTCCAAGGGCTCCTGGGGACACATGTATGACCTTCAGGTGGGCCATGATAATGCACTGATCTCCTGGGGGCAGAGGAAAAACCACATTTTCAAAACCTAGATTCCTTTGCCCAGCCCTGAAAAACCAGGCTTAGATAATCCAGTTCAATTCAACAAATATTTCCAAGCCCCTACTCCCTGCTTCCCACTGAGCAGAAAGACAGAGTGAGATCTGAGCTGTGCATTCTCTGCTGTGCCCGTTTTCTCACCTATAAAACAGAAACAATAATGGGATTTATCTCATAGTGTTCATGTGAAGGGTAAAAGAGTTATCATATGCAAATCACATTAGTTGTTATCTTTGTTAATATTATTTAAGTTCCCCGTGCCTGGTTTAGAGTTGGGTTTAGAAGAAGTCTCAGAAAATGGCGCAGAAGAAGAACTAGCTTAGGAATTAGAGGGCAAGACTTTAGTCTCCACTCACTACCCTACCTGCCTGTCAGCTATGACCTTTAGGAACACTTCTGCCCCTTCTCTGAGCCTTAGTTCCCCCTACAATCCCTGTAAATTAAGAGGTCTGTGCTGATGCCGATGGTCCTTACCTGGCATCCAGGGAGCAGATGAGATAGGTCTATAGCAGGTTCCACTTTCATCCATTTATTTCCTCTGATATCCTGGGTTCCCTGTCCTGTCCTCCCTTTGGTATGCCTGCATGCCTGTCCCCTCTCCTACCTTCCAGAACAGGGAGGGACCTTGGCATTGGCTGCTTTGCCAGCTAGCTACACCTTACCTTCTTGTCTTTTCTTTCAGTGTTTGACCTCCTGAGAAAGGGGTGAGTTCCCCGTCCCGATCAGGCAGGTCAATTCTAATCCAGGCCTACCTTTCCCTCCCTGTGTCCTCAGCCCAAGGGTCAGCTACTCTAGGAGAAATCAGAGACCTGAGTGCTTACCTTGGGAAACTCTGGTCTTGGGGGTAAATAAGAGATCAAGAGGATCATTTTTTGAAGGTTGGTGGAGGTCAGTGAGACTAGACTAATGAGGGAGGCCTCTGTAAGAGGGGATGGGAAAGCTTTGAAGAACTGGGAAGAAGATTTGGATGGAGAAGGGGAAGAAATGAGTGTTTCTTCAGCAAAAGTGTAGAGGTGGGACTTGAATCCTACTTATATTCAAATCACAGAGTTCTTTCAGCTTCACATGAAGCCTGTGAATTGAGTGGGTGGGACTCCTCCATTTGCTCCCATTTATGAGAGAAAAAGCTGAGGATCAGGCCAGTTGTGGTGGCTCATGTCTGTAATCCCAGCATTCTGGGAGGCTGAGGTGGGTGGATTGCTTGAGCTCAGTTTGAGACCAGCTTGAGCAAGAGCAAGACCCCGTCGCTAAAAATCACTGGACATTGTAGCAGGTGCCTATAGTCCCAGCTACTTGGGAGGCTGAGGTAAGAGGATTACTCAAGCCCAAGAGTTTGAGGTTGCTATGAGCTATGATGCCACAGCACTCTACCAAGGGTAACAAAGTGAGACTCTGTCTCAAATAAATAAATAAATAAAATTTAAAAAATTCAAAATTAAGGCTCGGCGCCTGTGGCTCAAGAGGCTAAGGCGCCAGCCACATACACCTAAGGTGGTGGGGTCGAATCCCCAGCCCGGGCCCGCCAAACAGCAATGATGGCTGCAACCAAAAAATAGCCGGGTGCTGTGGCGGGCGCCTGTAGTCCCAGCTACTTGGGAGGCTGAGGCAGGAGACTCGCTTGAGCCCAGGAGTTGGAGGTTGCTGTGAGTGTGATGCCATGGCACTCTACCCAGGGGGATAGCTTGAGGCTCCGTCTCAAAAAAAAAAAAAAAATTCAAAATTAAGAAAAGCTGAAGGATCAGGGAGAGTTGCTCCAGGTGACACAGCAAGTCACTGATGGAGCCTCAGATTCTAAGACGTCTTTCCTGTATGATTTTTCAGGATATTTACAGAGCAGCTGACATGGAGTAGTGGGTACTGGGGTGGGTAGATGGGGACCCTCACTGCCAAGGGATTGAATGTAGGCTGTGACTTGTCTCTGCATGGGAGGCTTCCTAAAGACCAATTTGGAGAGCGGAGCTCAGAGGCTTTCAAATGTGTTGGACCTGTATTCAAAACAAGAAATATATGTTTATATTGCAATTCATATCTGTAACTGACAAAGTTCTACAAAACAGTATGCATCTTTTTCACATGTGATATATTCTGATATATTCTACTTAATTAGGAAAAAAAAGCAGTTGCCACCCTCTAAGTTGATTTCATGACCCATTGGGTCTGGATCCACAGTTTGAAAAACAGTGCTCTAAATGGCGTTGTGCAATTGTTTGATTATAGATAATTAAGTACTTGGAAGAAGGAATACCAAGCCAGTCAAAAATGAAGATAAAGCTGCTTTGAAATTATAGGGATTGAAAAGGGATATTTATGTCTATGTGTCTTTTACAATTTTCATTATATGGGAGAAAAAGCTAATACCTTGGGTTCTAGGGACCCATATGAGCATAAAGTTCTAGGACATCCCGAGACTGTTGCTTTCATCTGCGCTGCCTTTTTGCACCCTGATTACTACTGAACACCTCTCCCCCTCATCCTTCTCTGTAGGCCGGTCATGGAAGTGCCCTGCGACAAGCCCTTCCCAGAAGAACAAGCTCGGCTCTACCTGCGGGACATCATCCTGGGCCTAGAGTATTGTGAGTCCGCCTGCCCCCAGGGCTGAGACTAGGGGGCCTAGGACAGCCGGGCTGACCCAGCTTGGAGCCTAGCGGATCTGCCAATCAGCTGTAGTGGGGGCGGGGCTTGGGCCTGTAGGCGGGGCCCAAGGCCATTCGAGCGGGAGGGCGGTGGCAGCAGGTTTCCCTGGACGTGTGGCAGGTCCTCAGGGCCTGGTCTCTATCCCTTCGTCAGATTGCGCCTTGAGTGTTCTGTCTGTATTTTTCCTCGGCTTTCTTAGCGAAGCTTAGCCTCTCCACAGGTCCTTGAGGGATGTGGGAAGGAAGGGATTTATGTCCAGCTGCTCCTGGTGGAGCGTCCTGGCATGAGGTCTGTGGGAGGTGTTTAACCATGAAGGGCCCTAGGGTGATGGGAGCTCAGAGGGCAGATGTTACCTTAGCCTCTATCTCTGGAATTCCTTTACTTGCTCTCTCATTCATTTCATTCATTCACTTCATTCATTTGAGTACCTACAAAGTGGTGGCTGGGATCAGAGAAGATGAAGACCCAGATTTGACCTCACAGCGTAGTGGGAGGGATGCAAACCTATGCAGGCAGATAATATAGTGTGGTAGGCACAGGAGCACCAGGGGGCAGGGGAGGATTCCCGGAAGAGGCTACATGTGACTAGAGTCCTCAAGGATGAATAGGAGTTCATTAGTCAGGTTTGGGGGGATGGGGTGGGAGTTGGGGTTGAGGTTTAATCTGGTTGAAACCTCCAGTGGGTGAGAGTGAGGGGTGGCTATGTAGTTAGTAAATGATAATGCTGGAAAAGCTATCCAGGCCACAGCATGAGGGCCAGGAATGCCTCCCTGGAGGACTTTCATGATTTCATCCTGTCACCGTTGTGAGGCTTTGAGCAGGGGGTTGTGATGGGATTTACGCCTTAGAAAGCTCTGTCTGGCAGCTGTGTGGTGGCTGGATCTGAGAGTGTCATCGGAGGGTGAGAGACAGCCAGCTGGCCAGGGAGGAGGCTGTTTCTACAGCCCAAGTGACAGATGGTGAGGCCTGGATTAGGGCAGTGGCAGTGGGGAGGGGACAGGAAGGAGGTGCGGTGGCCAGCGCAGGGTGACTGACTGCTCTGGGGAGAGGGGTCCCCTAGACACCTAGGGCACTGGCCTGGGCTGAGGCCATCTCTCTAAAATCTTCTCTTGTTTTGTTGGGAGTGTATTCTCTCCCTGAGGAGCAGGGTAGGAACTCCTCTGAGGTTTGACTTGCAGTAACAGGTCAAATCCACTTGAGCCTCTTCTGTGCCCTCAGATTAATGCTGTCTTTGTACGTATGGGAAAACTGAGGCATGCATAGGGGAGGGCTTTGGAGAAAGCATAGAGGTGTGGGATGGGACGGGGACATTTTACTTGTGGTCAGTGGCAGGCACAATCTTGTACTGGCATGGCTCTACCCCCTTCCTGTTCTAGCTCCCTCTGCCCAGCTGAGAGCCTGCTGTCTGCCATCCCTTGTCCCTCTAAAAAAAAGCTGATCTCATCTGGTTCCTGGGTAAAGCCTCAGCAGGAGCCAGCTAATCACAGTGACGGGCTTCCTTGGAGTGGATCATTGAGTGCCGGGGCCTGGACAGGTGGGTGTCCAGAGGCACAGGGAGCTGAAGACCTGCCTTGTGATTCTGGCCCCAAGAAGGGAGAGCTTCCCTGAGAAGGCTCCGTGTCAGGAGGGCCTGGGCATGGTTCTTAATTTATGGGGGCTAGTGCAGCTATGAAAGGGATGGAAAGCATCAGATCAGGAGTATGTTTTAGAAGCTGGATTTGTAGGACTTGCTAATGAATTGAGTGAATTTGTAGGACTTGCTAATGAAAGAAGGAGTTGAGGATGAGGCTGAGGTTTTTGACATTGGTGATATACTTCTAATTGAATGGGGAAGAGCAGGGTTTTCTAGGATTTTTTGGTTTGTTTTTGTTGGAGGAGGTGTTGCAGCAGAGAAATCAAGTTATCTGTCTACCTGTTTATCTACCAACATGTCTATTGGAAATCCACACACATAAAGACCCTGGAGCTTAGGGAGGAGGCCACGGTTTGAGATAAGAATTTGAGACCACCACCACGCCCGGCTATTTTTTTGTTATAGTTGTCATTGTTGTTTGACAGGTCCAGGCCAGGTTCGAACCTGCCAGCCTGGGTGTACATGGCTGGTACCCTAGCTGCTGAGCTACAGGCACCAAACCATCTTCTCTCTCTTTCTCTCTTCCCTCCTTTCCAATATCCTGGGGTGTGTTGTTCCAGGGGAAAGTGTTTTTACTAAGGAAGTAGTCCACAAGTAGAAGGCTGTGGGGTAGGGTGAATTTCTTGTCTCTCAGCCTGAGCTGCCCATCCCAGGCAGTGCTGGAGCCAGGAAGTAGGACAGGATCCCAGCCTACTAGAGATGGCTAACCTTAGCCAATTGTGTTTTTCCTGGGATAACTTCCCTCTCTGAAACCTCCAATTAGCCCAGATCCGTAGAGCTGAGACAGTGCCTCTGTAGGATACCACAGTTCCCACAATCCAACCCTCAATCCCAGGAGCAGGGATATCCTTGACCAGGCTGGGTGGGGGATGGAACTGGGGGAAGGTGGGCTTTGGGCAGAGACAGCACTCATGTGGGAGGGGCAGAGACAGCCTATGGAGCACTCCCTCCCCTCAGTTTCCTCTGATCTCCTCCTTTACCAACAAGTACCTGTTTGTCATGGAGAGAGCACTGGACTTGGAGTCCAGAGACTCCTAAGATTCCAGTCCTGGCTCTACACCTGACAACTTGGACTTCACCTGCATAGTGCAAAGAGGTCCTCATCTGAGGTCCTCATGAGCTAGGAGTGTGCCTGGGCTGGGATGCGCCAGCTGGCTTCCCTGGCTGGGTGAGGGAGGTATGGAGTGCTGGGCAGTGATCCCCCAGACCAGTGCTCTAGCTGCCTCTCTCTGCAGTGCACTTCCAGAAGATCGTCCACAGGGACATCAAGCCTTCCAACCTGCTGCTGGGGGATGATGGGCATGTGAAGATCGCCGACTTCGGTGTCAGCAACCAGTTTGAGGGGAACGATGCCCAGCTGTCCAGCACGGCCGGAACCCCAGCATTCATGGCCCCTGAAGCTATTTCTGATTCTGGCCAGAGCTTCAGTGGGAAGGTGAATTCCAGACCCGGGGCCAGGCTGGGATTCAGATGGAGGAGTAGGACAGCTTGTAGCAGGGGCCTAGTTTCTAACCTGAGTGTTCAGGGGCCTTGTGCCTGGGCCTCTATTTGCCTCTTCCTTGGAGCTTGACAAACTCCCCCCCTTTGGCTTTCCCTTGTTTTTCTTTTTTTTGAGACAGGGCCTCCAACTCCTGGGCTCAAGCGAGTCTCCTGCCTCAGCCTCCCAAGTAGCTGGGATCACAGGCGTCCGCCACAATGCCTGGCTATTTTTTGGTTGTAGCCGTCATTGTTTGGCGGGCCCAGGCTGGATTCAAACCCGCCACCTTAGGTGTATGTGGCTGACACCTTAGCTACTTGAGCCACAGGCGCCAAGCCCCTTCCCTTGTTTTTCAAAAGAATGGCCCAAAGCTTCCCTGAAGGTACTTACTGCCAGTTACTCGTGGTGAATTCTAGGCTGGGCTACGGAATAGGCAGAGCCCAAACAGCCCTGCTTCTTGTCCGTCTGGATGGCAAAAAGGGCAGGAGAGCTCGTAGGTAGAAGATATCGGAGGCTTCTCACAGATCTTTGATACGGCAGGGTTTGAACTTGGACTTGAAGAATAAAGAGGATCTGAGTGGGAGGTAGAGCCCAGAGAATGTGAGATGAGGGGACAGAGTGCAGAGGGCCTGGAAGTTTGGGCTTCCTCCTAAGTGGCAGAGGCATAGGCAGGAAGGTCCGAGTATGGGGTGACACAGTGCAGCTTATGTCCCAGAGCTTACACCCATTCTCGTGTGTGGAGCACTGATAGCCCCTCTAGACCCTACCAGAGAGGGTATGGATAAGAAGCATTTGTACACACACAGGGGTGTGGAGCCCAAGAAAGGAGTCAGGAATGTAGGAGGGCTTTTAGAACTTTATTTTGATATAATTCTCAATTAACAGAAAAGTTGCAATAATAGTACAAAGAAATCCCATGTATCTTTTTACCCAGATTCACTAATTATCAACATTCTGTCCCATTTACTTTTTTTTTTTTTTTGAGATAGAGTCTCACTTTGTCACCCTCAGTAGAGTGCTATTGTATCATAGCTCACAGCAACCTCATCCTCCTGAGCTCAAGCAATTCTCTTGCCTCAGCCTCCCAAGTAGCTGGGACTATAGGCTCCCACTACAATGCCTGGCTATTGTTTTAGAGACGAGGTCTCACTCTGGCTCAGGCTGGTCTCAAACTTGTGAGCTCAGGCCATCCACCCATTTTGGCCTCCCAAATGCTAGGATTACAGGCATGAGCCAACATGCCCGGCTTCCATTTGCTTTTTTATCACCTTTCTATTTATTTGAATATGTATTCATATTATGTTTCTCTGAGCCCTTCAGAAGTTAAGTTGGAGACATTATGCCTCTTTATCACTAAATACATTTGGCGGATATTTCCTCAGAACAAGGACATTCTCTTCCATAACCTCAGTGCAATGATCAAAAGCAGAAAATTTATCATTGATAAGACACATGTAATCTACATGTCTTGTTTAAATTTCATCAGTTGTCTCAATAATGTCCTTTATGACATTTTCTTGTTCTGGTCCAGGGCCCAATCCAGACTTGCCACATTCACTTGTCTTGTCTCTTTGGTGTCCTTTAATCTGGAAGAATTCCTCACCATTTTTATCTTTCCCGACCTTGACATTTTTGAAGAGAACAAGCCTGTTACTTTGTAGACTGTCGTCAGTTTGCATTTGTCTGGTGTTCTATGATTGGATTCAGATGATGCATCTGGGGGCAGGAGTATGTAGTAGAGATTTAAGAATCACTCACATAAGAGTGGGAGCTTTGAGGAGTTGTGACAGTGGCTCAGGATGAGGGAAGTGGACGGAGCCTCCATGTAGGCAGGGGCTGCTTCCAATGTCAGGAAGAAGGTGAATTGTTAGAAGGGATGACCCTTGAAGCCAGAGCCAGTGTGTGAGTGTGAGTTTAATACATACCATCATTCCTGGGGTACACCTGTGTCATGGTGGGAGCAGATGTGACGCTGTGGATGAAGGGGGTTTTGCACCTGTTGAGTTAGCTAGGTTTGAACCTGTTCTGGTCATCCCTGTGCCCCAGTGCTCAGTACAGGGCCTAGCATGGAGCATGCACCTGGGGGATGTTTGTTGAGTGAATATGTGATTGAGGAAGAAGGTTCCCTGGAAGTCACGCCACAACCTCTGGAGCTGGGTGGACAGGGAGTGGCCATGCCTGTTAGAGGACTGATCTGAGTGTGTTTCTTTCTAGGCCTTGGATGTATGGGCCACTGGGGTTACACTGTACTGCTTTGTCTATGGGAAGGTGAGTACTAGGGAGGCCAGCAGACCTGGGGCAGGCCCAGATCCCTGACCATGGGCTGGGCCCAGCAAGCCAGGCATGGGAGACAGATGCAGGCATTTCCTGTGTGTCCATGTCCTTGTAAGGTGGCTTTTTAAAGAGCCTACCTGGCTCAGAGAAGGCTGAGGGAGAAGAGGCTTTTCCTAGTTTTCTCTTATTCCCTTGGGAGGGATTCACACAAAGTCTCAGGACAGCAGACATTGGATGGGTGGTGCAAATGATAATGTAGGCACCTCTCCTGCCAGAGTGCTTTCTTCCTGTCCCTCTGTAACCTTGATGCCATTCACTCATTCAACTGTTCATTCATTCAACACATCGTCCTTTACTCCTACTTTGGGTCAGGCTGGACCTTGGGGACGTCCAACACCTACTCCATTGACCATGCCGAGAGGCAAGGAGAGAATCTCAGTTAACATGTTTCCAAACTGCAGGCCCTGGGAGTGGAGGCCTGGTTGTGGGTGGCTGTAATGCTGGCGAGTATACTCGGCCTCATAATTTAACCCATGTTTGTTAAGTACCTGTGGTGTACTAGGCCCTGAACACACTAGTCGAAGTCCTTCACTGTTGGGGATGCCCAGAGCTGCTCTCCACTCCTGGCCCCCATGGGATGAGGGCTGGTCCTCCCATGTGGCGAGTTTCTGGGTCTACATCCTTTGTCTGCCTCTTCCCCCTGCAGTGCCCGTTCATTGATGATTACATCCTGGCCCTGCACAGGAAGATCAAGAATGAGCCAGTGGTCTTTCCTGAGGAGTGAGTTGTCCACTTGGGGGACCGAGGAGGATACCACCCTCTCCTGGGGAGGAGGGTCCTGAATTTTAGGAAAAACTTAGCTCTTTGAAGACCCTACCCCAGCCTGCAGATCTGGAGATGAGGGTGCTGGGAGGGGCCTCTGAGCAGATGGAGGAGTGGGACTGTGGAGCTGGGGTCTCCTAGACATTGTCATATGGATAGGAACTCCAAGACCCAGAGTTGAGTGGGGATGACCCCAGGTGACTCACCCATACCACCTCTTCACTGCAGGTCTACATGGGGTCAGTGGCACCTGCCCCATGCAGCCCCTGGCCGCCAGGGAAACTTCATGTGTCCCACATGGGGTGGAGGGACCTCCAGGATGCCAGCATCTTCTCATTTCACAGGGAAGAGCAGACACTCTGGAGGAGAGTTTTCAGTGGCACTGGGATTCAAAGTCACTCTCTCTTTTCCTCTCCTTCTGTTGTGATTGAGGTCTCTGGGCCCAGGGGGACTGTCTGGGAGGGCTCCCTGCCCACACATGGTTCTTTAGATCATGGTTCTGGTCACTGGGCCAGCCTGGGCTTCCCAGCTCCTCATTTCTCAAAGCCTTTCTACCATTTGTTCAAACTAGAGCAGGTCAGAAACCAAAATGCGACTTGCCTCCGCGACTCCTGCTCCCTGTACCCACTTCCTGCCTGGTCTTCCTGTTGAGTCCACCTGTCTCTGGGCTCTGTTGTCACCTATGCCCCCTTCTCCCTCGGTCCTCAGGCCCTTTCCCCAGCTACTGGTCCAGCTACCTCCTCTCTGCTCTCCCTGCTTCTGGCTTCCCTCCAGTCCAGCCAACACAATCTGACTATATTTCCTGTCTAAAGTTTATGCGAGGCTTCCCAAAGCCCTCAGGACAGAGGCCACACCCTGGTCCTGGCATTCAAGGACTCTGGGCTCTGCTATCTACTGGCCAGGACAGCATTCCCTTCTCCCAAGCCCTAGCCAGCTGGCTTCTGTTTCCTACCTGTCCTTTTTTTTTTTTTGAGACAGAGTCTCACTTTGTCACCCTTGGTAGATCATTCCTAGGGTACGTCTGTGTCATGGTGGCATCATAGCTCATAACAACCTCAAACTCTTGGGCTTAAGTGATCATCTTGCCTTGGCCTCCCAAGTAGCTGAGACTACAGGTGCCCACCCAACGCCTGGCTATTTTTAGAAATGGGGGTCTCACTCTGGCTCAGGCTGGTCTCAAACTTGTGAACTCAGGCATTCCACCGGCCTCAGCCTCCCAGAGCCACTGCATCTGGCTATCTTTTGATTTCCTGTCTCTATGCCTTTCTTCCTGCTATACCCCCCTGCCAGGGATATCTTTGTCCCCAGTCCAGGAGTTTGAAAAGGGATGAAGCATCTAAGACAGCAGAGGGAACCAAAGCCAACTGTCCCCAGGGTGGGTTCCTCCTCTCAGGCCCAGACACATGGGCTGCCCACAGATGCTGGTAGCAAAGAGCCTGAATTTAGGGCAGAAACAGTCTGGGCTGATGTAGGCTGACCGTGCTGCCTCCCGTGAGTGTCCCGTCCCTGCCCATGCTCTTCTGGGTGGCACTGTACCAACCCAGTGACCTCTTGGGGCCTCAGTTTTCTGCTCTGTCAAATAAGAGAGGATCTTTCCTGGACAGCTTCCAGGTGCAGGGGATGATGAGATGGTGAGTGGGAAGGAAGGCCCCTTATGTCCCATAAAGCAACTCTTCTCAGAGCGTCCTCACCATCTCTTCCATCTGGGGTGTGTCTAACACCCATGGACCTCCATTTGTGTTTGTGGCCCCTGCCCTGGTGGGAGGCTTTACATCCTGCCAGAAAATCCTTCGTTCTGAAGCTCCCTCCTGGCCTGGCACCTCAGGGGTGTCCTTCTTGCTTTTTGGAACTCTGTCCTCTTATCTGAGAATGAAGGCCAGGTGTCTCAGGACATAGGGTAGGGAGAGGGGTGGGCAGGAAGGGGCCCCTTCAGGTGGCGCACCCTCAGCCCCTTCTGTCTCCCTCTCTAGGCCCAAGGTCAGCGAGGAGCTCAAGGATCTAATCCTGAAGATGCTAGACAAGAATCCTGAAACGAGAATTGGGGTGCCAGACATCAAGGTGGGGGAGTGGAGGTCTTGAGTTGGGCTGGGACACAGAAAACAGACCTGTTTTTCCCCTGTTGGAGAGACCTACAGCAGAATGTGTGTTATTGGGCTTGGGTTTGGGGTTTGCAAGGTGACTACTGGGAGAATGCCTGGAGTCCCCAGCTGTCTCTCTATCTGCCTATGGCTCTGACCCCTCCCTGCACTCCTGGCCTCCGCAGTTGCACCCCTGGGTGACCAAGCATGGGGAGGAACCCCTCCCCTCGGAGGAGGAGCACTGCAGTGTGGTGGAAGTGACTGAGGAAGAGGTGAAGAACTCCGTGAGGCTCATTCCCAGCTGGACCACGGTGGTAAGAGGGCTGGGAAGAGGATATCTTATCTCAGGAGGGTCTGTGGGGGGACAGAGGGCTGCATATCAGCCGGCTGTGGAGGCTGCTATTCCACCGGAGGCCCCTGGTGAAAGCGGTCACGCTCTGCAGCCTCATGGCAGGAAGGCCAGGAGGTGTGGTGGGGAGAGTGAGTAGTTTAGAGAAACTTGCTTCCCGAGCTGAGCAGCAGCATCACCACGACTGGTGGAAGCTTTTCCTTCCTTCCAGACGTGCGCCGAGCTTCTGCTGTCCTCCCACACTGCACTAGGAGCCAAGGGCATGGCAGTGAGAAGGCCCAGCCTCTCGATTGGAGAAGTGGCCCCAGAGCCCACATGTCAGTGCACAGCACCCATGTCTCCTTCTAGTCTCCCCTCAACTTTCAGTTTTGTTCATCTTCCTCTGGATATCTTCCAGGCTGATGGTTGGAAGTTTATTACTGTAGCCCCCATAGCCTTTTGGGGTACACCGAGAGCCCTGCCCTGCCCTGCCCTTGCCTGAGCTTCATAGTGAGTCAGGGAAAGCACAAGGCCAGGAGAGAGTGAGGGTCACTACTGGTGGTGGGGTCTGGTCTTGTACTCATCCACCTGTGTGTCCAGGCCCAGCGGGGACCATTGGCTGAATGCCTACTCCACTTGTTCACTTGGCTTTGTGACTGGCGTCCCTGGAACCAAGCATGTCCCTTCTCAGCTCAGACCCTGCTCACTCACTCTGGTGTCTGTATCCCCCTGAGTAAAACCCATAGTGCATGTCGCCTTGCAGAGCCCCTATGCAGCCTGCCTCCTGCCATGTGCTTGGCCCAGCCAGGCCCCACAGAGTGGCTGCCCTGGAGCCTTGGGCCTCCTCCTCCCTCTGCCCAAGAGCTCCTCCCCAGACGTCCCCAGTGCTCACTTCCTCACACCCTTCAGGCCTTCACTGCAGAGTCACCTCCTCAGAGCAGTGAGTGCCTTTCCCGGCCCTTTATCTACAAGTTTAGCCCCCACCATCACCCTGTGTCACACCTCATCCCCTTCCCTTGTTTTAGTTTTTTCTCTTTAGCCCTTCCCACTTAGTAGCATATTCTATGTTTTCCTGATTTGTCTTATTTATTGCTTGTCCCCAACTAGAATATAAACTTCCTGAGGGCAAGAATTTTGGCCACAGTGTGGCCCTAGTGCTTAGAATAGTGTCTAGTTGGCATATGGTAGGCACTCAATAGTGTCGATGGGATGGGATGGGTGGATGGATGGATGGATGTGAGTGAGCAAGTGAAAGGATGAGTGCACCACTGGGTCTCCACATGTTTATGTGAGTTGATACATCTGTGGGCAGGGGCTGCCCTCATTGCAGAGGAAGGACAAAGGCAGAAAGCCAAGATGTGGCCATTGGCTCAGCTGTCGCTGCCACGAGCACCTCTGGGCCTCCCTGTGCTGCCCAGTACAGCCTTTCCTTCATGCCGTCCTTCCCTTCATAGCTAGAAGGTGTTTCCCAGTGGCACTTCCAGCCCTGTCCCCATGCTTTCAGCCTGGTGTCACAGTCCTTTCCTTGCCTGGTCCTGGCCTCTGCTCCCACGCTATAGGTGGCACAAGGCTCCTTGCTGTCTTGGGAGTTTACCCCTGGCAGCCGTCCCTCCGTGCTCTTTTCCTCTCCTCTGAGAAGGACCCTCAGTGGGGCCCACCCGGCAGCTGCCCTCCAAAGAGTCGAGTGGGGGTTGTGTGCAAGCTACCTCTGTGGCCGGGGGCCCCGGCCCTGTGTTCCTTATGCTGAAGTGTCCTCCCCAGATCCTGGTGAAGTCCATGCTGCGAAAGCGTTCCTTTGGAAACCCGTTTGAGCCCCAAGCACGGAGGGAAGAGCGATCCATGTCTGCTCCAGGAAACTTGATGTAAGTGCTGGTGGGCTGAGTCCTGCTGGGTGCTCCCTGGCAGGCTGAGCCCAGAGCCAGGGGACTTGGCCAGTCTCAGAGTTACACCTCTGTCCTCAAGGCTAGTTAAGACTAGAAGGGACTGGGCCATGCCTATAACTCTGTGGGTAGGGCGCCGGCCACATACACCCAGGCTGGCAGGTTCAAACCCAGCCCAGGCTAGCTAAACAACAATGATAAATGCAACAAAACATTGCCAGGCATTGTGGCGGGCACCTGTGGTCCCAGCTACTTGGGAGGCTGAGGCAAGAGAATCTTTTGAGCCCAAGAGTTTGAGGTTGCTGTGAGCTGTGACACCTCAGCACTCTACTGAGAGCGACATAGACTCTGTCTCAAAAATAAATACATAAATAAATATAAAATTAGACTAGAAAGGACCTTTGTGGCCCAGCTCTTTGCTTCCATCACTTACAGCCTCTAGACATGAGGGGCACACTCTGCCCCTCCATGGCCCAGAAAGACCTATCTTCTCTAGGAAGCTTGATATTGTCACTCTCCCACTGGGTGCAGCTCAGTTCTCTGGGGCTTCAAGTCTGCAACCCCCTCAACTGATGGCAGCCTGGCAGAGGTTTGCAGACAGGTTCATGTCACCTCCTTACAGGAGGCTGGCTGTGGAGGGAGGGGGGCTTCTGCTGAGTCTGTCTGGCCCTTGAGAAGTGCCCTCTGCTTTTTGAGTGGGACCCATGTTGCCTATAGCTGTTGCTGAGGCTGTGTGCTCAGTCAGCACTCTGTGAATGCTTGTCTAAGACACATGTGGACAGGCTGGCTGACTGGCCAGGGGAGAGGAACCCTCATTTGCCAAAGGCTCCCTGCTGTGAACCATACCTGTGGGTTTACCACCTCCTGGGAGAAGCTAGAAAATCAGTTCCCCAAGCCTCTGTGGCTTCATCCTCAGCTCTTCCACTTTCCACTACAATAAAAGTCAGTTTGGGATGCCAACAAGGCCTGCTGGAGTTTGTACACAGACGTGCAGAGAGAAGATTGTGGGGGTCCTGAATTTGGTCCTGGGACAGCAGTTAACTTCTTTTGGCCTGTGATGGGCACTGCAGGGAGGAAGGTTGGCAGGAGTTGTGCCCCTGCTTGCTTTGTGGTGAAGGTGTGTTCCCCAAAAAGGTGAATACCGGGCTGTCTAAGTACCCTGGCCTCTCAGGAAGGAGAATTTCTACCTTGTTGTCCAATAGCCAAGATGTTGGTTCTGTGTGAGGCCTCGCTCCTGTAAGTGGGCTCTTCAGAAGTCCCATCACAGTGAACACACTGGTATCTGCTACCTGTCAAAGGCAACTTTATGGGATTGTCTCCATAATAAATTGTGGGGCCTGGGAGAGTCCTGATGGTTTCCAGCTGCAGTTTTCCCATGTCTTCCGGGAAGTGGTTAGGTTTAGGAAGGCAGTTCCCTGAACTCATCTAGATCTGCAGGCCCCTAATGCGGGAATTGCACCTAGCGTAGGAGGAACATGGATAATTTGACATCCAAATGGGGCCACTTTTGAGAATGAACCAGGAAGCTATTAATAGTCATGGCAGGACAATAGAAGAATCAGGACTGTGCCCAGCAAACCTGACATCTGGTCCTTCCAGCTTGGGGCCTATGGCCCAGCACCCCCTAGTGGTGGGACAAAGCCAGTCACAGGATGAAGACAGCTGGCCAAGTTTGTGTCCTGCACACTGTGATTGGAGAAGATTGGGCTTAATACTTTCCTGTTAACACATATCATTATTAATATTATTATTTTGAGACAGAGCCTCAAGCTGTCACCCTGGGTAGAGTGCCGTGGCATCACAGCTCACAGCAACCTCAAATTCTTAGGCTCAAGCAATTCTCTTGCATCAGCCTCCCAAGTAGCTGGGAGTACAGGTGCCCACCACAACACCTGGCTATTTTTTTTGTTGTTGTTGTTAGAGTTGTCATTGTTAGTTAGCTGGCCTGGGCCAGGTTCCTCGGTGTATGTGGGCAGTGCCGTAACCACTGTGCTACGGGTGCCGAACCCCAAGTTTAATTTTGAAAGCAGACTTAACCTCATTGTGGAGTCCCCAGTATTTGTCCTTGATAGGCTCTGTTTTTTATACTTCAGGATAATTGTTGAAATTCTGTAGTAGGACTAAGTGTTATCTTTATTAAGATATTGGCAAGGCACATGGCTCATGCCTATAATCCTAGCACTCTGAGAGGCTGAGGTGGGTGGACTGCCTGAGCACATGAGTTTGAGACCAACCTGAGCAAGAGTGAGACCTCATCTCTACTAAAAATAGAAAAACTAGCTGGGCATTGTGGCAGGCGCCTGTAGTCCCAGCTACTTGAGAGGCTGAGGCAAGAGGATCACTTGAGCCCAAGAGTTTGAGGTTGCTGTGAGCTATGACACCAGAACACTCTACCAAGGAAGACAAGACAAAGTGAGACTCTGTCTCAACAAACAAACAAATAAAAAAAACCCAGATATTAAAACCAACTCATTGGTTATTTTAAAAAGAGACATCTTGGCAAGGGTGGAATCAGATACAGGTTGGCTGGTGGAGGTCAACACCAAAGGCAGATACTCTGAGGATGCAGAGGGATCAGCTGGGCTAGATCACAGGATGCTCTGAGGCCAGGCTGGGAAATTCAAGCTTCACCAGGGGGAGGGTTGTGGGCAGCTGCCAGGCTGCAGGGAGGCCACATGGAGGCAAAGCTTGGGGAAGTGGGTAAGGGGGATGTGAGACATCATGGGATTCGAATGTCTGTGAGCGTGTGAGAGTGTCCCCCAAATGCATGTTCTGATCCCTGAGATTGCCCTGTCCCTGGTGTCCCCTGAACAGGAAAGAAGGGTATGGTGAAGGGGGCAAGAGCCCAGAGCTCCCTGGTGTCCAAGAAGACGAGGCTGCATCCTGAGCCCCTGCATGCGCCCAGGGCCGCCCGGCAGCACACTCATCCCGCGCCTCCAGAGGCCCACTGCCCTCATGCGACAGCTGCCCCTGCGGGCAGGGGGCTAGAAACCACGGCCCCTCTCCTGGCCACCTCCCCCTGTCGTGCTGCATGACCTCCACGCACGCACGTCCAGGGACAGGATTGGAATGTATGTCATTTGGGGATCGGGGGGCAGGGCTCCCACAAGGCCTTCCTTCTCTTCCTGGCTCTCTGTGGCCTGACCCATTCTGTGGGGAAACCAGGTGCCTATGGAGCCCCAGAAACCCTACCCAGCTGGTCGGCAAGGCTCAGACAGGAGGCAGAAGATCAAGACGCTTACTGCAACCGAAGAGACCTCCAGGGGTGCTGGGCAGGCCTGGCTTAGCCATCACACACACATGGAGGGGGTTACCCTGCCCACTCTGGGGTGGGAGGTGGTGCCAGAGTGCTTGTCTACTGATAATGCTGGTATGGAGGCTGTGGCCCCTTGATGTATTCCTGGGCTATACTGGGAGGGTCAGTATTGGAGAATTCAGATATCTTTTTTGTTATATTTTACTTTTATTTTTAACTTGGGGGTGAGGGGAGAAACCCTGCTTTGGGACATCTCTTGAGCTTTCCTATAGCTTTGGGTGGTTCCTGGGATACCCTACCATTATTTGGCAGCCAAGTGGACTGGACTGACCTTCCTGGATTGTTTCACATTTGGCACCATCTGGGAGATGGGCTGAACTGAGAACTGAATCAAGCTCTGACCAAAGGCCTGAGCCAGGGGGTACCACACCTTCCCTTCCCATCTCACTTCTCCCCTGCATGGCTCCCCAGAGCCCAAGCTGCAGAGATGCCAGAGGGGGTTATCAACCCAGGACCATGGACTTCTAGGGCTAGCTTCTTGCACATGCTGAAATAACTGGAATCCGCTCTCTGACCCTACACTGGCCTACCTTCTGGACCCAGAAGCTGTACTCAACATTACAAAAATAAGGACAAAGAGCCCAGGTTGGAGGCATTGCTTGACACAGAACCCTGGAGGGATGTGCACACTCGCAGGTGATCTCTTTGCCAACTGCCTCACCCCAGGACAGTCAGTCTTCTCAAAGTAGGAGTACTGGAGTGTGTGCATAGACATGGCTCTGCTGGGGCAGACTTCTCTCTGAGATCAATGTCTACCTAGCCAGCTTGGTGTTTGCCGACCACATGCTCATAGAGGTAGACCTCCAAAGGGGAGTAACAAGGACTCAGATACCACCCCTGGAAACATGGCTAGGCAAGGGGTTTCAGCCACATGTGTAGGTTTCATATTCTAGGAGGGCTCATTTACAGGAGAGGGAGGCTGGGCTGAGGGAGGGCCCGCGTCCTGCTGCATCTCTGTGCCTGTGGATGTCCGCCGCACCTCCACGCACACATGCGTGTGCGTGCCCATCTGCTGCACACAGCACACTCGCATGTCTTGCACCAGTACATGCATCTGTAATATAGTTTCTATGTCTATTTAAGGCTAGGAGCAGAATGTGGCTCGTTGTCAATGGGTCTGCATTTCTCCCTGGCTTCTCTGCACTAAAGCAGTGTGGCCCAGGGCTTAAAAAATAATTCCGTACAGTTTTTAAGAACACTTTTATAGAGTTAATGAAAGCCAAGTTGAAAGCCAATCACTGATCAACAAGTTTTTCTTGAGCATCTCTGTGAGCACCTGGTTTTAGGGGCTACGGTGGGTTGGGCCTGCCCATGGAAAGCTCAGAGGTGGGGCCAGCTCCACCACCCATGTCAGAGCCTAAATGGGACGATGCACACCCCATCTTTGAGGGTTTTGGTTGGCATCAGTGTTTTTTTGAATGTAGTACAAGTGATGAACAAACTCCATAAGAGTGTTTTAAAAATTAACTTCCCAGGAAGTGAGTTAAAAACAATAAAAGCCCTTTCTTGAGTTTAAAAAGAAAAAAGGCTTTGTGTGTATGTTTTCTGCAGCTGGTATGTGTTCTTTCTCACTGGCTGGAGCAGCTGGCTTCACTGGCTTTCCTGGAAGGGTGTGAGGCGCCCTGAGTCCCTGAGCAGGATGGCAGTGAGACGGAGGAAGAGGGGTAGCTGAGGAGAGTGATGCAGCTCAAGCCCCTCAGAGGGTCCCACGGCCCCTCCTAGTGAAGGATGGGATGTCTCAGAGCCAGTATACTGCCCATGAGGGCACCTGCCTATCTCACTGGGGGCATAGGAAGGCTGAGGTCTGGTCCAGGTGAGAGCTGTCATCATTCCTCATGGGACACTTCAGAGGAATGCCTGTGACACCGGCCCAGTGACCTCTCTGTTCCCCCTTAGCCTTGGCATTGGTACAGGCTTTTAGGCCTCTGCACCTTTGTGCCCACAGTAGGGCCATTATGAAAAGAATCATTGTTGATGTCAGATAGCCTTGTGCTTGAATCCAAACTTTGCTGCTTGGGGTGGTGCCTGTGGCTCAAGGAGTAGGGCACCGGCCCCATATACTGGGGGTGGCAGGTTCAAGCTCGGTCCCGGCCAAACTGCAAAAGATAAATAAATAAAAATAAAATGCTTTTAAAAAACCCACAAACTTTGCTGCTTAATACTTGTATGACAGCCGGGTGCGGTGGCTCACGCCTGTAATCCCAGCACTGTGGGAGGCTGAGGAGGGAGAATTGCTGGAGCTCAGGAGTTCGAGACTCGCCTGAGCAAAAGTGAGACCCCGACTCATGAAAAAAATGGAAAAACCCAGCCGGGCGCCTGTAATCCCAGTGGCTTCCGGAGGCTGAGGCAGCGGGATGCCCACAAGCTAGGAGTCGGAGGTTGCAGTGAACTACCAAGCCACTGCACTCTGCTCAGGGGCACAGGGTGGGACTCTGTCTCGACAAAAAAAAAAAAAAAAAAATTGTATGACAAGTCACTGGAGAAGCCACAGTTTCCTTATTGGTATATAGTACCTCCCTGGAGGGGTTCGAATGGAACAGTTTTCCTCTGCTCTCACACCACAGTGATCAACACAGAAGGCTCCTATGATCAAATGTGTAGGGCTTTCTCCCCACACACCACCAGAGCAATGGGCTCTGGCAGACACAGAGCCAACTCAGTTTTAACACTATCTCCCTAGAGATGGCATGTGCTCCCACAGGGTAAGTGCTCAGTCCCTAAGACTTCCCCCCTTCAGTCACCAGCACAAGTTGTGGCCTCCAGAACTTTCTGTCTGACCAGCTTCGAGTTGGGATTCTCATGACCTCTCCCTTGGTTAGATTAATTTGCTAGAGGAGGCCGGGTGTGGTAGCTCATGCCGGTAATCCTCGCACTCTGGGAGGCCAATGTGGGTGGATTGCTTGTGGTCAGGAGTTTTAGACCAGTCTGAGCCAGACAGAGACCCCGCCTCTACGAAAAATAGAACTAGCCAGCCTAGCCAACCAGGTATTGTGGGTGTCTGTAGTCCTACTACTTGGGAGGCTGAGGTAAGAGGATTACTTGAGCCCAAGGTTGCTATAAGCTAGGCTGATGCCATGACACTCTAGCCTGGGTGATAGATTGAAACTCTCAATTTTTTTTTTTTTTGCTAGAGGCCCTGGTGTCTTTCAAAGAATGCCTTTGGGTTTGGATTACACAGAGCTTTTGCCTAGTCTCTGTTCCCCCAAGCCCTGTTATCCTATGTGGTCTCAGCCTTAGGGAGAGAGGGAGGGGTAGCCAGGCCACTGAGAGTTCCAACTTTCCTGTGGGGACACCCCAGATACACACTGGGGCCCACACAAACACCTGCAGGTTATGGAGTCACCTCACTATGCACAAGTGCACTCGCATATCCTCCCTTCAAGGAGAGGAGCAGGCTTGCCCTCTGGGCCACTGGGACTCAGCTGAGGGAAGCCTGGGCAGCCGAGTGGTGGGTGTGCTGGGCCTGGGGGTCCACTGAGGCCCAGGAGGAGACCAGGAGGGCCTGGGGAGGGATCTGTCCTCAGTCTCACTAGGGAACACAGCCCTGGCCTGACAGGGCTTCCTGCACTGCTCTGGCCTCCTGCTAGACTGGGCCTCTGACGGCTCTGTGCTGCTTTGCTTCTAGGTTTAAATGGCCACCCCTCTCCTCTGCCCTTGTTTACCCATATACATATACTCTCTAGGGCTTCAGACACATCCATTTCTCTAGCTAGGACAGGCCAGGGGACAGAGCCTGAGTCTTCACTCTCCTGGGTGAGCTGCCAGTCCTTATCCAGGTCTGGCTGACCAATTTGTCACTTCTTAGTCCATCCCCCACTTGTGTAGTCAGCCTCCATGCCCTCCCAGCTCTGTAGGCCTCACCACCTCCAAGTCACCTCCTCTAGGAAGCCTTCCTGTAGTATGTGGTCTGGTGTCTGGCCCATCTATAAGACTGGGACCAGGACTCACAGCCTCACCAACCAGCTGGCTCACTTTTTTATTTGGCTGGGGCCAGGTTTGAACCCACCACCTCCGGTATATAGGGCCATCACCCTACTCCTTTGAGCCACAGGCGCCACCCACCCAGCTAAGTCACTTTCACAACTTAATACCTCACCTCTTATAATTCCCCTGTGTTGAATAGCATCTGAGGAACATCCTCAGGAAGCCCTTCCCTGGCCTGTTTACCTCTGGTCTTTTCTGGTTCTTTGTGTTCCGCCCCTATGTGTACAAACATGTCAGGCCTCTCCTTTGGGTATAAAGCCAATTTTTGTCCTCTTTGCTTTCTGAAGGCTGCTGCTGCACACTTTGGGTAGTGTTGCTTCTCAGATGCCCTCTACATAGAGTTTTTTGTCACCTGTTACTACCAGACTCTCTTAGTCCTGCCCCAGCAGTACTGGCCACTGTTTGTCTTAGCCATGGACACTGGCCACTGTTTGTCCTAGCTGTGGTTGGCTGATGCCCTCTGCACTTTGACCCTCAATCTTTTTTTTTTTTTTTTTGAGACAGAGCCTAAAGCTGTCGCCCTGGGTAGAGTGCCATGGCATCACAGCTCACAGCAACCTCCAACTCCTGGGCTGAAGCAATTCTCCTGCCTCCACCTCCCAAGTAGCTGGGACTACATGCACCTACCACAAACGCTTAGCTATTTTTTGTTTTTTTGTTTTGTTTTGTTTTGTTTTGTTTTTTGAGATGGAGCCTCAAGCTATCCCCCTAGGTAGAGTGCCATGGCATCACAGCTCACAGCA